TTTAATGTCGAAGGGGGGAGGGGCTAGAGCTCGAAACGATTTGGACCGACTGGCGGAATGAAAATGTAAATGCACAATAAAGTAGAAGGATTAAGGATTGTGTAACAACCGCACACATGAATGGAGAAAAGGAAAGGAAAGGACAATGCAACAAACAATGACAGGAGTGACAAAAATGTTGGCACAGGTTTTGCCTTCAACATAACATGTTTTACTTTTTCATTTTGGCCAGCATTCTTTATCATCCATCCTCGTGTGGATGATGATGACGGCGATGTGGACATGTGCTTTGTCAAAAGAGAAAGACAAAACGATGATATATATGACATAGCCAGAAGCAAATCCACTCGCATATGTAGAATATTTTGATACCTAAATGTCAGGCGGGTAAAGTGAAGTGACATTTAATTAGACTGTCCCAAACTGATGACCGGGTCAAAAAACGTTATCAAAAAGAGCAGCCTCTGCAAAACAGTCACAAATATTTGAAGTACACACAAATACTGGAATAGTTGGGCAAAGGTAAAACCCCCAGATTCTCTTGTTGAACTTAAGCTAATCAATTCAAAATTTAAGCGCCCTGTAACAACCTTTTTGAGATGCTTCCTACTTGGAATGCATTTTAGGCATTCTAAATATAAATGTATAATTTACTCGCCCAGCTTTGTTTATTAATCCAGCGTTTAGTTGTAGTCATTAAAGGGAATGACGTGTCCCTCCCAAATATGCAAATCCTTTGCTCGACGTGAAGGGAAAAGCTTAGGCAACTGATTGCCAAAGGGGCGGTCATAAGCCAAAGTAATTGGAAATTAAATTGGGGGATTTCCGTGAGTGGAAGTGATAGCCACGTGACAATCAAAGCCAAAACCCACTCACGACTCACATACTCGTTGCTAGCTTTGGATCCAATATCTGCTCCCCGTTGATGGCCAATAATTGCTTTAACATAGCGGACTGACTGACAGAGAATATCATTTTACCATTAATAGAGAGACGGAGGAGTATCCTGCTCATGCTGAAATAGAAATAGAAAATAGAAAACTACACAATACATATAGAAATGCGGTAACAGGCACGGAAAAAGATTGCTTTCCTTTGAGTGTGGGGAAGTCTGTGGTTATGGCATAGAGTAATTTTAATAGGTCATCATATTAAGGGATTCCCGGACAATTCGTTTGCTTTCTGGTTATGGTTATTGTTGTTATCGCAGAGCGGGGGCGCTTTGTTTGTGTATCGATTGTGTGGCAACGGATGCTGTGTACTACCGCCCACTTTCCTCCCCGCCCTCTGCCCATTTCTCTGCCCGGTTATTGGCCATTTGCCCACGCGATGACATGTGCGTTTAATTGCGTTTTACTTATTTGACACAAATTAATATGGCAGTCGCCGTTTGCTCCACCCTTTCCGAATGCCCGTGGCGAATCCACATAAGTATGCTATAATTCTCCCCTAAACTCTGTTCTCGGGTAATTAAATATTTCTGCAACACTTGCGGCAGCTCGGCAAAGGTATGTACAGAAAAATACCCTTTTAGACGGGGCAAGAAAAGGCAACGAAGTTTCCCATCAAGTGGGAAATCTTTTAAAGTTCACTGGGACTCTGTGTGTGTGTGTGTGTGTGAGTGGCATTCACCGCATCATAAATCAAATTATGACGACCTGACGAGCAGCAGGAGTCATGACCGAAATGTTATTAAGTGCAGCCAAGGGACCAAAACGAAAGCCCAAGAACATCGAGCGATCCGAGAACCCTTGACCACTTTCAACTGGGAAGTTTGTTCGAGTATTTTACGTTATTAATATTAATATTATTACAAGAGACGACACAAGTTTTCGTATGTGATCCAGGCCGTGAGTGTACACATAATTATGCAATTTAATGAGTTTTCACTTTGCTGTCGCAGCCCCCGGGCTACTCCACCTTCAGGGAGATACACACAAACCGCCCACAACTCCAGCCCCTTTGCTAGGACAGCTGCACATGTGCATAATTAATTTAAAAAATTCATTTCATTTAAGGGTTTTATCGAATGTACGGGCGTTTTAAAGGCTTTGAATATTTCGTTTGTTTTTAATTTTGTCCACTTTCACATACTACACTTCCAAGTGTCTAGAATGTACAGCATTACACTATCGTCGATATAGGAAAAATAGGACCAGCATCCAAGGTGCGCAGTGTAACGAAAATGTTGTTAAAGGCATGTGACGGCGGCGGTGATGATGACGATGATGCGGTTGACTTTGCCACAACAACGGCAACGTCGGCAACGACAACTTGACAAGGGAGCCGAGACTGGTGGCTAGAAAGGCCAGGCGGGGTGAAAGCCTCCGTTCCAGCCTCCTTTGCCTGCTGGTGATGTTTGCCCAGAACCCCTGCCACAGTATCTTCTACCATTTTCCCTGGGCTGCCATAAACGAAACGAAAACTCCTCACGACGACGATGAAATTGACGTATAAAGTCAACGGCGTCAACAAAGTCGCTCCGCCACTCTCGGCTCCCTTTCTCCAGATCTCCAGATCTCCAGGTTTCCAACTCATCGCTGAACACATGACAGCACTTTTGAGGCCTGTGTGTGTCACGTTCAGCATTTAGCGTTTATTGTGTCTGTGTATTTGTTTTTCTTTTTTCTGATATGGCCCAAAATTGAATTGAAAAAGTTGCGGAAAGGTGCCTAGGAGAGGTCTTCCAGTTATGGGAGCCCCGAAGTAGACTACTGTTATTGTTCTGGCTTTTTATTAAACCCGCTCTGCCAGAATTTTCAAACGAGATGGATGAGAATGTAAATGAGTTTGAAAACGTAGTTTGTGTCTGGGTTACTTCTATTTGCCAACTTTGATGAAGCTGGCAAAGGAGAATTGCAAAGGATGGATGAGCACATTCTTTTGTGATTTGTGCCTTTGTTTTTGCCTTGCAGGAAATTAGAAATCTTCTCACACAGCCACATTTCCCATCGTCGCCGTCCTCGTCGTGTGCGTGTGGAAAGCCAAAGAAAATTAGAAAGCAAACTGGTTTGGCTGCCATTACAGACATTGGCATTTATATGTCGAGTTAATTAAAAGAAAACTAGTTATGCTAGTACTGCTCCTGCGCTCCACCAACAAAAAGTCATTAAAAAGTGGAAAAGAAGTCGGAGTCGAAGCCAGAGTTGTCTGTCAGACAGTGCGTATGATTGATAATGAGTTGGGACTCAAGTTAAGGAGAGGGAGTAACTCTGTTCAGACATCTTCATTTTCCTCAGCTCATCCTGTCTGCGCAATGCAAAGAATGCACATTTCTTGCAACGGAACGTATTATTTTATTGCACTTGCCTCGGTCACTTTTGCAGACCATCCCTCGAAGTCTCGTCTCCCATTGTGTGCGCCCAGAACTGTCATTGTTGTCCTGCCATCTCCTGCTGGGTAGCTCCTCCTCCGCCACCGACCTTCAACTGCGGTGTTCCCTGGTGGGCAACCTTAAGACTTCGCTGCGGGCGTTCACCAGTGCCGAGCAATAGATATTAACATGGGTTTGTTTGGTGGTTGGAATGGAAGGGGAACCGATACCGGCAGTGATGAGCTTCTAATGGTGGCTCCATTGTCATACCTGTAGGTCCAATTTACATATTGCCCGGCCAGTTGAGTAAAACATGGGAAGGAGCTGGAATTGTTAATTCCGTTTTACTTTCATCTTTGATGCGGGCAGATGGCTGTTAAAGGGGTTCTAAGACTTTAAGTCCTATAAATATAAGTTCAAGTTTTGATTTAAACATGCTTTCTGATGAAAGCTCTAGGCGATTTTTCAAAAAAACATGTTAAATTGATGTCATAACGAATATGGAAAAAGGTTATGGTGCAACACCGAAGTTAACTCACAATTTTTAATAGAAATGTTTAAGAACTATTTAATGTTTGGTTTCTTCTGTAAAAAAAAAAAATCAGTTTGCCAGATCTTTACTTACAACATCGTAGTTGACCTGACATTAATCACCATTTGCACTGGCTATTCACCTAACTTCATGAACAGGAGGGAAATTACTAACTAGAACATTCAAATTAGGCGTGGCCGTGGCCCATGTCGCTATCCTGTCAAATGTTAAGTGCAGCAGACTCACACAAATTATGCGCATTTTTGGTGGACAGTGTAAGCTTCAGAATTGTATTTCTCTCAGTTTCTGGCTTTTTCTGTCTAGGTGAGCTGGGCCAACGTTACATGGGGAATTAGTCCGCATAATTTCATAAACAACTCTGCCATGAAGGGGGTGTGGTGGAGCCGAGGGAAATGACAGGAAGCTTTTGGTAGTCATCGCGTTGGTCGCTGTGCAAATATTTCTTGTGCCCCCCCGGGAATGATTTCTGCCTGATGCTGATGCTGATGCTGCCGCCAGCATTAGTACATATCCGAACATATGCATACGAACGAACACGTTGTACGGCGAGTTATGCTGGGAATTTGTGTAAAGGAGCCGGGGACGGAGCCAGCGAAAAATGTGTACGAGTATCTGTACTAAATTGCATATGAAGTGATTTCAAGCGTAAGAAACGCCCCAACAACAACAGTAGAAGTACATCAATATTGTATATACAAATATATGTACGAGTACATGTACATATGTACATATGAGTCGCAGCGTTTGGAATATGCGGAAAACTTGGCGCAGGTTCAAAAAAAAAAAAAAAAAGTCACAAAAAAAAAAAAAAAAGAGAAAGAAGAATTTCATATCAAAATTACAAACAGGCCCAGGACAGGGGCCAACTCTCTGCCAGAAAATGTGGATGATGAACGAGTCCGGTTGGGGACCCTCTCGTCCTCATTGTTGTTGCTCAGCCAAAAGTGCCGGAAGTCGTGAACTCTGCATGAGAATGTGATTAAATGCACTGCTGGCACTTTGTGCACAAAACTAATTTGGCTAATTTCATGATTTATTGGTCCGAGTGGAAAATTAAATTTTATAAATGAATTTTAAAATGATTTATGCGTTACAAACTAACTAAATTTTGATTTCATCTCTCTCTCTTTTCAGCTTAGGCACCCAATATATATACATCTCTTAATGCATCAGCTAAGCAACAGTATTTTTGCTCAACATTAAATGTACGAAAACTCCCAAGGCAGAAGAATACTAGACATATTTTCATAGCCGTGATTATTTGTTGCATTTGGATAGAACCACTGGAGATACGAGCAGCAAAGAGAACGCAGCGAGCTTAAGCCAACAACGTAGTACGACTAGCAAAAGACACCACCAATTTAATTTTTATCTAGAAAACCATACAATACCGCAAGCAAAGTAGCCAAAATCTCTTATGTATAGTATATGTATCGATCATTTATGATTGACGTATAGCAAAGTTATATTTACAAAACCCATAACTTAGTCGGAAAGTGAGCCCATAAAAAGACAAAGCCACTGCTGCGATACAGACCGCTGATTACGGTCAGATCCAGATACATTTTCATCTAAACCGAGTTAAGAAAAAGGTAGCAAAATAGATACCATGGAAGACAATAACACGAGCAGCAGTGCGGGCGGTGCGTCCATCAAACACGAGGATCCATCGGTGACACTCACAATAAGGCTGATTATGCAAGGAAAGGTAAGTTGGAATAAATTTCAAATTCGATTAAAATAAAATATATAAAATCGTGCTGTTGGAAAACAATATTTTTAAAATGTCACCAAATGGTAATGGTGTCAAAATAAAGAATTAAAAAGTGAGGACATGATAAGGATTAGTTGAAATAATTATCGATTAATCGTTATTAAGGGTGTATTCGTTTTAACAAAGTTTAAAAAGTTTCAGAGACCTTCCTCTAAAAATATTATACAGAAAACAATCCTTTAGGAGCCATGTATGCAGAGGCATCCAATCAATGTAACCTAAAACTGACTCCACTTTATTTAAATCGAGTGCAAATGTCTATTAAAATATGAACGCTTTTATGCACACCATTGAGCTCTGATATCTTAAATATTTATAGACCTTTTTTCCAATCCACACGAAAATCAATAAAGAGAATGGAAGGCGCAGAGGGCAAAACAAAAAAAGCATCCTGGTCAGAGCAAACATTATTGAAAAAAGAAATTACAAATTAATGCGTGAATTTTGTATGCAAATTAAAATTAAATACGCGCCACGTCACGCATTATGCCATCGCATTTAAGGTAAACGAAATGGAGAATTGTGGAGAAACTACGGGGGAGTCAGAGTTATGCATATGTACGATGTACATACGTAGAGCTATAAATACAGGGCCATAAAAGTGAGACGAAGTAAGGCATCGGCTATTAAACAATCATTACGGCTCCCAGATATGAGTAATAAAAAACAAAAACAAATAAAATACACCAATTTATAAATTGTTTTCGTTGCGTACAATAACAAAATGATGTGAGTTGCAACTGGCATGTAGGACCAGGGACTTTATTGCATAGCAAATCTGCCTGCGGGACAACGGGTTAAACCAGTCGCAAAAAGATGGCATACAAAAAATTAATTATTAAAATATTTGCCTGGACAAATTAACCAACAAATCGGGGACAGGGCGCATTGTGTGCGCTTTAATCAAGGAAATGTTTTCATAGCAATTACCCAGCACAAACACCAGGAGGTGGGCAATTTTTAAAATGAAATAATTCGAGAGTTTATACTGAAAAATGTTAAGAAATATAGATGTTTATTGACTCATTTGCGATATTAGTCTTCATTCCAATTAGGTTACAATGTTTCTTATGTTTCGATTTTGAGTAGCTTTAATTTATTTAAAAGATAAAGTCTGAAGCCGTTCAATAAATTTTAAGGTGGAAAAAATACTTCAGTTTTTGAGTCTCCATTATCTCCATAGTCACAATGACCCAAAAAGCATATTGTTTTCCATTGAAATGGAGCCCCTTTATTTCAGGCAGTGATTCACAGCAGCCGAAGTAGTCAAGATAAAGCGGCATTAAACAAAGAGATAGAAAAACCGACACTAAATAGATGCTTATTTATTTAATAACAGTCAACAGCCATTAAAAACTATTATTCAACCACATTACCCGCCAACAACAATCCAGTAAAGGCTGTCACGCAAATCCGCAGCGTCGTTGTTGTTTCTTGGGTTGAGTTTAGGTGCGATGCGCTGAGAGGCTTGCCACTTGAGAGGAGTAAGCCAGAAGATGGGGAAGCTGGTAAGACTCCGACCCCCGAGCACGTGTTGAGCTGGCAAAGCTGTCATTTATCTTTTTAGCCGTACTCGCCGCAGAAGGCGACAGAAAGAGCTGATTTGCAGCTTTAGATTTGCCCAGGCATCGATATAATTATAATTTTTGGTCGTCGTTGAATAATATTTTTAATACCACAAGCAATTGAAAGGCCGAGACAGGTGCAGATAGGACGACAAGCCAGTGCAACGAGGTGTAGGGAAGGGGCCTTTTACATGATGTGTAGCTGAAAATTGGCAATAAGGCCAGAAATATGTTTAGACGCGACAGTTTATGGCAGATATAGCAGCCAAATAGACAAAGCAAGCAAAATTAAGCCAAATTGGAGTGGGGTAGTGCTGGGGAAGTGTCTTCCTAGCAGAGATTGGTATGCCTACCTGGTGCGGGATCCCTCCGCAGATCACGAATCTCTTGAATAATTGCGCACTTTTTGGCTTTTACATAGTATAGCTGCGAGAAAGGCGTCTGTATGGGAATAAATATTGTGTAAATGCAAATTCTGCACATTTTCTGAGATTTTCTTTTTCTTGCCAACGCAAGGATTCGGGTAATAAATTCCCAAGACACTTTTGTACGGCGCCGACAGACTAAGGCTGTCATTTGTTGTTGGTCTTTTGATCGATAGTTATAGATTAGCATGATTTATGCGATTTTCTCAACAGCCGCGCAGATGTGAATAAATTTGAAGCGCAATGCAAATCAAGTGGCGAGCGGGAAGAAAATAACGACAGCGGCAAATAAACAGCGAACCTACTGTCAACTGAGTTGGCATAAAATTGCATCAAACACAAATCTCAACATCCGTATCGATAAAGTTTAATTGTCTTCAAATAGAGGCGACCATATAAGTTATAGAAAAGCTTCCAAGCTAAACAAAACAAATTTAACAATAAATGTCTGCTCCTTTACACTTATATAATTTGTTATGAAGAAGCTTTTTATCTGTTACGTAGTAAATCAGTGCAATTTAAAATACAAATACCAATTTTAGAAATTTACTACATTTTATATCCTTTCAATAGAAAGGACACTTTTTTGAAACTTGAATCTAGATAGCTTTCAAAATGAGAAACTAGCTTTGCTAGACAGACAGATGGGCATGAATCAAGAATATGAATATTTTAGCTTTATTTGACTGAAATTTAAATACCCTGGTACAATGGTATAAAAATGTCAACGACAAATTCAATTGAATAATAATAAATATAGCGTAAAAGTAATTCAATTGTGATTAATCCGTACCGTTATTCCACAAATCCACAAGTCAATTATAATTGTAATTATTTATTAATGGAAAATTATATATAAATATGAGATTGGATACTATCCAATCCATACAGTCGGCGACACACAACAAGGTCATCGCCAGAGCCAAAGTTGCCATTGTTGAGCAAGTATTTTTGATATTTTCTTGCGTCTCTAATTAACTTTGGTATATTATTTTCATGCAGAAAGTCGCATTTGGTGCCTGGGTCTGAGTCTGACTCAGAGGCAGAGTCAGAGGCAGAGGCACAGTTGCAGCCGCGTCCAAAGTCGTGATGCAGTTAATTAATTTATGAAAAACGAAAACAGAAACGCGAGGAAAAAATAAACAAATTAGCCATGCGATCGAGCGACAGAGGGTGCAAGAAAAAACACATTTTTCTTTTGTTTTGAGCCCGGGCTGTTGGGTTTTTTTTTTTGGTTTTTCTTTTCACCTTTTTATTTCTTGGCAGGCATTCGCAAATTGCATAGAAAAGAAAACGTAATGTGGGTTGCTCTCTCGCCTAGAATTGTCAGGGCAGTAGACAGAGATATTTGTTGCAGTTGTTCTTATTTTTGAATCATGCATTTTTAATTAGTGAAATTGCACGACGTCGACGACGGCACCTTTATGCGAATTTTCAACACAGTCTGCCAGATTTCCCAAGCACTTGTCTAATTTTAATTAACTATTTTTCGAAGCGTCCGATTTTAGGGCATGGTTATGTAATGTATTCGTTGGGTGTAGCAATGGACTAAACTCAACAGTTGTGTTGACGTTTTATAATTTATATAATTTATTAGTTGCTTTTTATTGTTATTATGTTTTCAATGTTTTCCAATTCAATTACTTAAACTAAAGCCTGCCCTCCAAAGCGCGTTTCGGTCGCCCTTTGCCTGCAGGAGACATTTCTCATTCGTCCGTGCGTTGTTTTCGTTATTTAATCAAATTAAAAATATGCCACTTGCTGCGTGCTGGCATGGCCATGTACTGCATCTGGTCCTGGCAAATTGTAAATAATTTAATTGTACAATTTTTTTTGTGTTTCGCCTGCCAGCGGCAGCAGCAGCAGCAACAGCAACAACACAACGTCCAAAAATTCGATATAAAAAGTTTGCAGGGCGACAAATGCACTGCATGATTTATTGGATGGGGCAGCGGAGGGGCGGAACATGTGTGCCACAGCAGGCCATGTGTGCACTGCACACCTCCGCCCAACCCCGCCCCGCCCCCTGTGTCACATTGCATTTTCCAACGTTTGTGGCCAGTTTTTCTTGCATTTTTCCTTGCCGCACAGCTCCCATAAATGGTTCTCACGGTTTTGCAATTGCTGTCAGAGATTTTTTGCTGCTGATGGTGTTGTTAGTGTGGCTGCTGTTCTCTTTGTTGCTGCAATTCACTTATTTTTATACAATTTCCAAAGCCGCCACACATTAAAAACAAAATCCGCAAAGATCACAAAAGGGGAAAAACATGAAACAAGTCATGCTCCTCGAACTTTTTTTTTTTTTTTTTTTTTTTTTTTTTTTTTGGTTGTTGTTTGAGCTAAAGCCAAAGTCGCGATTTTCTTTTCTCATTTCTCCGTCTTTTTACTGTCTGCTCCACTAACATCAAAAACTCTTTTTCCTCAACTCCCTTTTTCAACTGCTTTTATTGTGGCCCACAATTAGCGTTGTCCATTCTTTAGACTTCAACTTTAATGTCTTTTCAGTTATTGTTTGTTTTTTTTTTCTCCAATGACCATTGTTATTGCCATAATCTTCATAGCAAGCCGTGTTTCGTCTTATAGTGATAAATGGAACTAGTCATATTTTACGCTTGGCTTGATATGGTGTGGGAAAATACCAAGAGATATGCACAGGCAATTAGGGATGAGTTTGCTGATCTATATTTCATGATTATGCAACCAAATCACCAGCCTAGAACAATTCTGTAACTCGAAAACTAAAACTGTTTCATACCTTGCGGGAGTCACCATTCAAAACTTGTAATGCATGAGTATTTAGGGTTGTTGATGTGAAGTTCATGATGTAAGAGGCAGAGGGTATTATAATTTCAGTCAAAAGTGTGCAGTCATGTCCGTCAATTATTCCATTTCTACGCAAACTAGTCCCTCAGTTTTATTGTTATATTGATGAAATTTCTCTCATTTAAGTTATAAGTCCGAACGGGATGGACTTAAAATTGTTTTCATCCAAGCTTTATTTAACATTTTTAAAATCCTATTCACCCTTTTTACCCTCACAGTTTTGACATTGTTATTTCACCAAAGACCGACCGATTCGCAATAATCCCTTGTGAAAAACAAAACAAAATCAATAACAACCGAACAATCAAAACTTATTTCCTGACCACAGAACGGAATGTTGGCATTCTGAAACGGCTCCCTACATGTCAACTTTTCCTATGCATATTTTATGCAAGCAATCCAAACCAAACCGGGCTGAGCCCAACAAGCTGTGGACCAAACCCAAAACATTCAACAAAAGGCAGTTGAAAATGTTCCATCTGGACCGCAAAGTGTTTTTTGCATACGAAAATCGCACGCATGTGAAAATCGGAAAATGCGAAAATGCGAAAATGCCAAATGCCAAATGCGATTGTTCATTGTTGCAGGAGTTGTGTGGAGGAATGCTGTGAATTTAATTGTCGGCGTGCAGAACAGCAGGGAATTGGCGGGGTAAAGTGAGCAAAAGCCAAATCAATGCAATCAAGTGAAAGTCCCGAATTTCCCACTTTCCACCGTAATCAAACGGCGGGAGGTAGAGGGGATGAAGCTATGTCAGCCAGATCCGATTTATGCAAATTGGGCAAACTTCTGAACGGAACTGGCTTGCAATCGCAACAACATAATTGAATGAAAGCAGCGGGCGGATGGAGGAATCTGGGCGGACCTTAGAGCGGCCTGTGGCCACATTATTAATGATGATGACGCCGAGCCGCTGATGAGCAGCCATCAACCTGAATGACTATGAGGGACATCACACCGAAAGTGCGTAGTCTCTGGGCCGCGCCACACTCAGATACCACTTACGCAGCTACAATTTATATCTGCTCAAGTTTGTGACAGCAAACTTGTCCTATAAATTACACTGGTCGTCGAAATATTCGTCTATAAGTGCAGACAGGCGTAGAAACGCATCTAAGATGGGTTCGCTGCCGTCCAACGATAATTGCGCCAATAATTATGCCAATTCGCTCTGACATTTGTGTACAATAAATATCTACATAGCCGAATAAACGGGCCTGCATCCAAATCACCCAAGAGTGGCCAAAATGCAAGCAGCGCATAAAAATTCGGACAAATACAGGGACAGAGGGGGGAAGGGGGCGAGATTTCCCTCGCACATTGTTTTGCCCAGTTTGCAATTTGGCTGGCAAACTGCCCGCACCGAGATATATTAGTTGGGTTTGGGTGCGCTCTTTTAGACGGCACAATGGATTGCTGCACTTTGGATTTGTGAAGGTTGTTCTATGGTTTATGGCCAGAAAATTGAATGGGTGCGAGTGGCAACATTTAAACATGACCAAATAAATTGTTCGAAATCTGAAATGCGTAGAAATTAAGTTTGTAATTTGTTTGGTTATCTTTAAAGGAAAATGTCTGTTAAAACATAAAGCCTTAGGTTAAGTCATAAAATGCTGTAAATGCATATAATGCAGTTTAATGTTTTAAAAAAATTGACAGTGTTCTGTTAATTAACAATTTGTGATTTATGGTGGATTACAAAATCCATCATGCAACTAAATTTCTGTTTGCTAGCTTACTTAAAGATACATAAAAATTATGTTTTTTTTTTGTTTTTTTAAGCCCATTGGACCATTATTTAAATAAGTGTATAAAGGAGCTTTTGTTTCATTAATTGATGAAAAAGATACATTTTAAAATGAACTGAAATATTGACTACCCGCGAAGTGGGGATCAAAAGCGTAAGGTAAAAGATAAATTGATTGGCATGAGCAAAAGACTACTTTGCCATCCCTTCTTTGTAGCTCCCTCATTTCCGCTCTCCGCTTTAATTTTTCGCAAAAGCAAGCCGTGTTTTTTTTTTTTTTTTTTATTTGTTAAAAACTCAGTTACTGTCTGTGGCAGTGCTGATATTTACAATCAATTAAAACGCGTAAAACGCTCTGGCCGCAAATTTCATTACGTGCGCGACAGTTCCCGGCGACGACAGGCGACTGACTGTGAAAGGGAAATGTGTTCGCTTCGGGCTGGGTTTGAGTTTGGGTTTGGGTTTGGGTTTTCTGGTTGCCACTGTGGGTGATGAGGGGCGTGGCGCGTGTGAATGCTTTCTGTGGCAATTAAATATGCAAAAGTAGTTACACACACACGCGATGCCGAAGCCGATGCCGATGCCGATGCCGATGCCTCTCTTTGGTGTATGCTCCGGCATAATATCACTTAATATTTAATCAAATTTAAGCATCGTCGTTGACAGTGGCAGGCAAAAAACACGAAACTCGCTTAAAGTGTTTTCGATGTCCGCAGAGTTGGTGGCCTTGGGCAAGATACATCTTAAGAGCATTTAAAAGTTACTTTGCAACATGTTTTCCAATGCTAAAATGCTTAACATATTTTTCAAATTTTGTTTCTTTGCAGGAAGTTGGTAGTATTATTGGTAAAAAGGGTGAAATTGTCAACAGATTTCGTGAAGAGGTAAACATACACAGCTCCAAATCCTATAGAGATTCCCACTTAACTTTATTATTCCTCCTCAGTCTGGTGCCAAAATCAACATTTCGGATGGCTCATGCCCGGAACGTATTGTGACTGTGTCTGGTACAACTAATGCAATCTTTTCGGCATTTACGCTCATTACAAAGAAGTTCGAAGAGGTATGTGTGCGGTACAACTAGCAAGTCCCTATAATAGAGGCCCCCAACCCAATCACCCGTTTCACATTACTAACTTCTGACCCGTTTCAGTGGTGCTCGCAGTTCAATGATGTAGGCAAAGTTGGCAAAACTCAAATACCCATTCGATTGATTGTGCCCGCCAGTCAATGTGGATCGTTAATTGGTAAGTGGACTGTGCTTATCGAAAGTCATAAACACTAATGCTTTTCATTCACACTCGGTGCAGGCAAGAGTGGTTCAAAGATCAAGGAAATTCGCCAGACCACGGGCTGCTCCATCCAAGTGGCCAGTGAAATGCTGCCCAATTCAACAGAGCGGGCGGTTACCTTGAGCGGCAGTGCCGAGCAGATTACCCAGTGCATCTATCAGATATGTCTTGTCATGTTGGAGGTGAGTCTGCTGCACATTATCCCGACAAACGACTCCAACTTAGAAGCATTACAATATAATTTGGCTAAGCAAACTTTCGATAAACAGTATTCAACTGCAAATTAATCAACTCAAGTTGGCCTAAAACAGTATTTGCGTCTTTTCAAAAAAATAGTTAGCTTTGCTTTAAAACGATTTCCGTTTAAATAAACAATGAACGAACAAAAATGTCACATTAATCGAATGTACAAACATAAGAACAAAATGGCAAATTGCAATTTATTGTCTCTTATTTTACCATTAAAAATAATTAAGATGAATATTTATGCACATAGCTGAAAATCTATTTCAGGCAAATAGTTGGCGAAGTTTGTTTGCCTGACTTTTCATTTAGTACTTACTAATTATTATTTCGGTCAACAGTCCCCGCCACGCGGTGCTACCATACCGTACCGACCAAAACCGCAGGTTACTGGCCCCGTCATCCTGGCCAATGGACAGGCCTTCACCATTCAAGGAAACTACGCAGTGCCCACACAAGAGGTATGTAGGTGATCAGGCTGGCTGATTTTTTTAAGAAAACCAGGCTAAACGTGTTGTTAAGATCAGTGAACAGTGTTGTGTACTCTAATGCCAGCCACTGCAGCTATATCTCGCTCTGTCTCAATCCTAACCGATTCCACATAAGTCCAGCTAAACAATTTTGTATCTATTTGATTTTGCCCCGACCTAGTCCAACTATCTTTTTTGGTTATTGCGCGTCTTCACTTTCTGTTTTTCCTCTTAATATCTCTTCAGTTCTTGTCACTCTACTTCTCTGTCTATATTTCTCGATCTTGTGTTTCCGCCGATAATCCAGATCCACCTGCTCGTCTCTATAGAACCCGATTATTATTTGCGACACCGTCCACGAGTCCTTCCCCTTCTTTCTCCGTAAACTCTTTAATTGGAGACCCCAGAAAGATGTCCAGAGGAGCACCTCCTACGATTTGTGACCCGTTTTTGACCCTTTTGACCCTTCTGAACCCTACCTCTCAATCTATTGTACTGATTACCGCTACCGCTACCGATTCCGATACCGATACCGATTACCGCTCCCCATCGTCGTACCCATGAGATTCATCTATTTTCAAGTCCAAGTGGTGACCCCGATCAGTGAACTAATGTGTTAACAAACTTTACAGCCATCGAATCGACGATAACAATTAACGAAACAATTTTAAAATAAACTTTAAATATGTATTTTTGTTTTGTTTTTAGTTTCTTTTGCACTCTCTTCTCTCAGGTTAAGAGCGTGTGGCTGCGAGGAGAGTGCGTGCGCGATCGGTATCTCTCTCAGTCTCTTCGGCATCTGTCTCTGTGTCGCTGCGAGAGTCTCCGGGAATCTCCGAGAATCTCCGAGAATCGAATCAGCAGCATCCTGAGGGGAGAATCGTTGGGCTCCACCTCAGAGAAAAGTGTTGAAGGCGTGGCGAGGCGAGGCGAGTGAGTTCGTGTGAAAGAAAGAAAGGCTCGCGGGGAGCTGGGGCTAGAACTCTCACTCTTCACTCTCTGCTCAGTCTCTCTGTGTCTCTAAGTTCTGTTCTGAAGAGGGCTCGCTGGCAGCGTGTGTGAAGAAGTATGTTCAAACTACACTAGTCCACCTCTCTCTCTCTCTCTTTCTCCAAACCCATCAACATACATATATCCGCCATATCTATCCAGCCCAAAAGAAACCTACTTTTTAATCAAATACCTCGACACACAACAAGATCCACAAAATATAAAACTCCTCTTTGAGCGCCAGTTAACTAACCGTATCGTATCAAATATTGAATAATTCGACACCCAAACCATATATATATACATTAACTTATTTGCCAAACTCCTGCGTTCTCTTGATATCTCTCTTGGTTTTTGTGTAGTACAGTCAATCATTGAAATTTAGTTTTCCGTACCAACGGATGTATCCGAATGACCAACATCAAGAGCAACACAACTGCAAAGCTCACAAGAGCAGTTGTTGACACATTTAGATGAGTTTCCGCCAGAACAACAATGCAATTAGCATCTACAACAACAGCATACTGTTCCAATACCATCCTGCCCGAGCCCTCACATCTGACACACTCTTAATACTTTCTCGCCACTCCTCTATCCGCATCAATAAATATTGTTTATAACTCTGTTTAAAAGTCCCATACCAAAATTGAATTTTGTGCTCTACAGAACCACAGTCAACTGAAAACAACAGAAAAACAAACAGCAAACAAATTCTATTCAATCCAGTTCAATTCAGCCCACAGTCGGTACAGTCAGCTCAGTACAAGTACAGTACAAGTACAGTACAGCACAACACGGTAAAGTTCAGTTCAGTTCTCCGACCTTCAGAGCCCCCCTCGCCAGCCATTGCCCCAACGAAAAATAAAAGTTTCTCAAAACTAAAAAAGACAAAGTTTTTGTTGTCGCATCAAATTCAATTAATGTCCATACAAAATTTAATAAATCAAAAACTAGTTGTACCATCCATTTGCGATATATATATCTCTCTCTCTCTGTCTCTCTCCCACCAATCGCTCTCTCACTCTCTCCTCCTGGTCCTGGTTATTGTCGGTGTTGGTTTACAATTCGTTAGCCTAATGCAGGGTGTAGTGTGTAAAACCCCAACAGTTGTCAACAATGGATACAGTTTGGAGGGTTAACTTTTAAAGCTGCGATAAAATGCCTTTTTTTTACAGTGTAATCCCGATATTTGATTTTGATTTGCCGTAGCAATAAAGGAAGTCTGTTGGCAACTGTACCCCCCACCTGCGCTAATCCGTCGGCATTAGTCCCACATCTTTAGAGTCCTTCATGATGTTGTATGCCCCTGAAGCCTTTGGTTCTACTGAGCCCTGAATCCGTCCCACTCGAAGTAAAAGTCCCTTCTCTGTCCCTCCTCTTAGATGTCATCATTTGTTATTAGAGCACCATCTCCCGATATCATTTATACTTTGTTCTGCGTTGCAACATATCCCGTTGAGAATCCCCGCCCTCACACCAGAAACTTGCACACACGACTCGAAAGCTTTCTCCAAGAGTTTCTCTAGCGATACGTCTATATTTAAACATGTATCTGATAAGCTTACATCTCTCCATAGCAACTACAAAGTTAAGATCTTAATTAACTTGCTCTGAAAGACATTTATTTGTGGTATACAATTTTCGTTCTTCTACTTTTCTTTCTTCCTTGTTCACATTTTTTGAATCGCAAAATAAAAAAAAAAAAACACGAAAACAAAATTGTAACTCCACACACGCACACCAAACATACACAACCGTAATGATCAATCAATCAATCGAACATAGACCTGTCCAGTATTTCCACTTGCTCTGGCTACCGGCGGTCTACATGCTGGTATCTCAGGCTTGGCGGATCCTTTGTTAAAGGGGGCACATTTACAAGGAGCGATACCAGCACACCACCATCACCTACAGCAAATGCCCGATGTGAGTTTAAAGCTATCGATGCGATTCGGTTCAAGAACACGAACAATCTCTACCAGACTCTTGAAAGAAACTGTATTCGTTTAACCAATATAATCAAACGCAACAAGACCCGAGAATCCACCTCCGCCAGGCAGAGCATGATGATGTACCGCCCCCCGTCACCTGCCTGCACCCCCCAAGCACCTGTCAAAAAAAAAAACACTCAGAAAAAATATTAAAATTGGAATTTCTTAAATTTTATGCTGTGGGTATACAAGATCTTAAACAACAATAACTTGCAAAAAACAAAACTTCTTATTTTAAAGTTTGCCTTTTTGGCAAGAACAAATCTAACCGACATTTCAACATTTGTAAAACAATAAACAATTAAATTATTTATTTAATATATTACATCTGACCAAAGACGTTACGATTAAGGATGTTTGAGTTCTTTTTCGAGATTTATTTTTATAAGAGGATAAGCATTAGATAAAGGAAAGACAAAGATAAATTTCAGAACAAAACAATTGTTTTTAGATGACAGAGTTCAGGAAGAAGCCATTTAAAAGTACAAAAAACTTAAACTTTACAATTGCTAAAAAAAAATTTTAAAAAAATTGAGGTAGAAAAAACTTAACAGTGTTCAAACTTTTTAATTTGATTTTGTTGAATAACTTTGTAAAACGTACAGTGCACGTTTTGTGTCGCTTTATTTAAGTATACTTAAAGTGTAAAGATACTACAAAAAGACGCCCACAGCAACTAAAGAAACAAATTTATAAAATTTGGTTTGTTCAAGAAGTGAAAACGAAAAAGAACGTTTTGGGCAAATTGTTGGTTTTTAACTTACCCAGACCTTTGATCGCCTAAAAGCAAACAATTTTCTTCTGAGTGTAGATAGTTGTGTTTGTATGTTGCTGTTGTAATTCTACCCTCCATAGTAACTTTCTCAGTAGCCCCCAGTTCCGGTTTTTGTAGCTTGTGTACCCAGTTTACTACCTTTGGCATTTCTTTTACGATCCCCCGTCGCCGCTACCGTTGGCAGCATTCCAATGACATTAGCATTGGGCCAACTGCAGCTCCCGGTCCAAGTCCAGGTCCCTGAAGTCGTTTGCCGCCACAAAGTCGGCGGCCGAAGTCACACTGAAAATCAACCACAAGGGGACTTGGAATACGAGGACCAAGGCGAAACCCTTAACCCAGCCAAAAGGCATTAAAAAATGCACTTTATGATCCCCCATCTCATTCCTCTCCAAAATTAAAGTTTTTCGTAGTTTTGGAAAATTGTTTCAACTTGTTTTCTTTCTATCTGTATCTGTGTGTTTGCCGTTTATGTGTTGTGTGCTTGGCAAAAAGTGTTTGTTAATATGCCAACACACACAAGTTTTTATGACAGTTTTCGCTAGATAATCCATTGTAGTTTCCCCGCTCCGCCCCATTCTCTCTCCCTCTCTCTCTCTGTCTCTGTCACTGAACTTTTTATTGAGTTGCAATTCATTTTTGGGTCATAAAATATTTCCATAGCGCATGTTTTATTTGTTTCATTTGAAATTCGTATTGCATTTTGATAAATATTTCAGTTCTTGTTTTCTAAGCTCTCACACACACACATACACACACACATATGCATCCCCCACACACACTCACATACATATGCATCTCTCCCACTCACACAGGCACACAGAAATAAAAGCACACAAAGCATTTCAATATTGTATGATTTATTTGAGATTTTCTCTAACCCTTTTTTTGTGCGCTCCTTTCTAGTGAATAATCTATTCCCTGCCTCCGTTTCCCTTTCTCCTCTTCAGATGCATTCAGATGCAATTATTCAAAACGTTTGTGCGAGTGTTGCATTTGATTTGATTAATTTATAATGCGCGTGCATAGCCGCCATTTTCTACCGACAGGCACCCCCATTTCGAGTCCTAGTTTATGTGCACATGTGTGCGTGCGTGTCAGTGTGTGTATGTTATTTGCTGTAGGTGTTATTGGTGAAAAGATTAAAACATAAAAAAAACTTCAGAATGCAGGAAAAAAGGTTCACCCAAACCAGATTAAGGAAAAAATCATACAAATAAAGTCATATGCAGAATCATAAGCATACTTTTTAGAGTAAACTCAAGTTAAATCAAGCCATAAGTCCGTTTGGAGTAGGTTTATATATGAGAAAAACCCAAGCGTAAACTTTCCTTAGGTGTACCCTTTGTAAACCTATTCAATGTGTCAACTTTCTCTCCACCTCTCTCCATCCGTCTTATTGTCTCTGTACCTATATATTTTGTAAAGCCAACTTGTAAATTATGTAGATACATTAACCAAGTAAGACAGCGGGTAATCCAGATCCATACACATCAACGTACACTGCACAAAAATACGTACACACACACACACTCATTGCCGAGCCGATGGCTCCATGTACAAAGAATAAAACACGACCCCCATTACAATCCACTCGATGGTGTATGTAAAAAGAGCTGAAGATCTAGTATTCCGTTTGCTTTTGCCTACTGCATTCTCTGTTCTTGTAACTATTTGTTTGATGCTTTTGCGTTTCTGTTTCTGTTTCCGTTTCCGTTTCCGTTCCAACCCCCTTCCCTTTTGTTATGTTCCATCTGCGTTACCTATTACTGGATGTTGACGCGCGTTGTGTTGTGATCTTGTGATCTCTTCCCTTCCCCGAAAACAGACCCCCGCCCCCAGATAAATAGATGATAATTAACCCAACTGTATACATACACACACACACCTTAACCCACGAAGCCCCTGAACCCCAGAGAAAATGATGAAATCTAAACCTAATGTGTCTCTCCTCTTCCCGCTCCGCGAACAGGTGGCGAAGAACCCGCTGGCCAGTCTGGCTGCCTTGGGTCTGGCTGGGATGAATCCGGCCAGCACCGGGGGCATCAACCACACAGGTGAGTTGAGCGCTTCTGCGGCCAGATGCCAGACAGATTTCCAATCTAATCTAGGCTCTGCCCCAGCAGCCTTGGCTGCACTGGCCGGGTCGCAACTGCGTACAGCGAATCCCGCGAACCGAGCCCAGCAGCAGCAGCACGAGATGACCGTCTCGAACGACCTGATTGGCTGCATCATCGGCAAGGGCGGCACCAAGATAGCCGAGATCCGCCAGATCTCCGGCGCCATGATCCGGATCTCGAATTGCGAGGAGCGCGAGGGCGGCAACACCGACCGCACCATCACCATCAGCGGCAATCCGGACTCGGTGGCCCTGGCCCAATACTTAATCAATATGAGGTGAGTGCATCGATCTCGTTCTGCCTCTCATCAGCTATCTCTCTGTATGTGTGAGCGAGCGTTTGTTTGTTGCGTGTCTTGTTGTCTAACATCAATTTTGTCGAATTGACTTGCTAATTGACAAAGAGAAGGTATAAGGAGGTCGTCGGTCGTAGGTCGTGGATCGTGGGTCGTGGGTTGTAGGTGAACTCTCAGTCGCGGAGTGGCGGTGCGTTCAAATGTCCACACCCGTCCAGACCAGGACGAGGCCCGGGGAGGTGGGTGGGTAGGTTGTGGGAGGGTCAGGGATTAACACGAATTCGTAGCCTAAGCCACACACATGTCCTAGCCTGTAAGTCGTAAGCCCGGCTAAGCCAAAACTAGCACCACAAATCGTATGATTTTCCACCCTCACACCCCTAGATCGTAGTTCACATCGAACGCTAGCCTAACCAACTGTTCTAGCTAATAGAAAACTATAAATATCTAACTGTATAAACCTAGCATCTAGTCTTACCAACCATGTATTAAATAAAAGTTCAGCAGGCCCCGGCCAAATCCGAGGATGAGCAGGAGGCGGATGATTATGAGGATGAAGGGGCCAGCACCGAATTAATCTACGCATCGCACACTTTTCACACAACTGAAAATGACAATCAAAAAGAAAAAGAAAAAACTGGACCTGATCCAATTGGTACTTCAAACTGCAGTTCAACTCCAAAACGATCCAAAAACCTCTATTCCCGTCCAAACAAAAAAAAAAAAAAAAAAAAAAATACCGACCCAGCCGAATCCCACCACCTAGTTCATCCTCCAAATCAAACCAACTCTTTCGGTCCATGCCTCCCCATAAAAAGAGAACAGCTCACCAAAAGTTTTCTATCCTACCATCCAAAATTTGAACGCCGCTCTCCCACCAAAACCCCCCCAAAATCGCTGAAAAAATGCCCTTCTTCTTTATCTCTCTCTCTCCGTCAACTCCGAACCGTTCCTCCACACAAAACCTCCTTAACCTTTTGCATAACAAAACACGAAAAGAATCGATAAGAGATCAAATAAAAAACCAACTCAATTCCACAAAATCGAAAAAGAACCAAATGTTTTGAAACTACCTATCACCTGCCAGAAAGCAAAAAGAAACCGAAACAAATACCAACAATATCCCAATTTGTTCCTTTCTTTCTCTCTCTCTTTCTATCTACCTTAACCGAACCTCGTCCACAGTGTTGAGCTGCAGAAGGCCAATCTACTGGAGCAGGCCCAGGCCCAGCAGAACGGAGCCGCTGCCGCCGCTCCCGGTGCTGCTGCTGCCGGAGTGGCCGGAGTTGCCGGCGTGGCCGCAGTTGCCGGAGCAGCAGCTCCGCCGTCCGGCACAAACGGAGCCATTCCCGCCAGCGTGGCCAGCGCCAGCGTGGCCAATGGCACCGCACCGACGGCCAACGGTGGCGGCAGCAACGGCAGCATCGGCAGCCTCTCCGCCCCCGGATACGCCAGTGCCAATGGCGGCGGCCAGGCCACGAACGGATCGGTTGGTGTGAATCCGGCGGCGGCGGCCGCTGCCCTGTCCAGTCCGCTGGCCTCGGCCCTGCAGCTGCTCACGAAGCCGGGAGCGCTGAGCGCGTTGTCCAATCTGAGCGCCCTGGACCTGCTCAACCTGACCACGCTGGGCAACAACAACGGCGGCAGCGGCACTCCGGGCGGACCGCCGGTGCAGACAACGGGCGTGAACCGGGCCAAGGGCCACTATGCCACCTCGCGGTTCCGGCAGCACCAGACGGAGACCGGCGGCGAGGCGGAGAAGCCGCGCAACAAGTTCAATCCCTACTAGGAGTAGGGCTGCAGCTGCGTCAGCCGGAGAGCAGTGGAGTTGTAGTCGCTTAGTCGCTTAGTTTTATAGGATTTCCATATGATAGCGTTGCGAAAGCTTTAGACTTTAGAGATTCTCGAGGAAGAAACAAAATTGTATAAAATTCGCTTTTTACTTTTGTGTGGTATGCGTACAAGCTACGATCGTATTCATATTGTATTCAGATTCGTATTCGAAGTTTCAAGACAATTTTTGCATCTAGTTGAAGCACATTATCCAAGTAATTGATAGACAGACTCAGACTCAGACTCTATGCAATATTTATCAGTGTTTTTGAAAAACAAACTAACCAACAACAATAAGCAGTCACACTTAGTTCGGCCGCATAGGGCAGCTAGACATTTAATTAATCGATCAGAATCACACAATCACACAATATCAAGCACCTTAGCATTATTGTGTATCGAATATATAAGGACAGGGTCATCTGTGCATGGCCCGATCGAGATATTTTGACCAAGTGACCAAGGACCCTAGTGGGCGCTATAGATTTTGGACCCCAAACTTTTGATAAATGCCTACTAACATATATATATATAGAAGGGTACATACAGAACTGTATCTCGTACATTACAGAAATTGCCAAATTTTAGCGCATCCTCTAGTAGCGTTCTTTGAAGCTTTAGATTAGATTAGATCGTGTTTATCGGAGTCGAAAACCGAATACGGAATACCGAATATCGATTTAGAGCAGGTGTACCGAGCATAAATGTATCCTCAACAGCCAACAATCTTTCCCCAATCCATTCATTGTAACATAGAACACGCTCCAATATATTATAATCCATTGTAATCTTTTAGACTGTAAGCACTAAATGTATTTTTTCCCTATATATACGATTATATATAAACATTAAGCATAAAGACCTAAAAGCCATTTGTCGAGAACAGAAGCAGCAGCAGCAGAGAAAAGTGAAACAGACAGAGTATGAAAAGAAAAGAACCTTCTATAAGAAGTTTACAAAGAAGAAATTCCAATGCGTTGAGCCCCCGAGCCGAAAAGGGAGCGATGAGATTCAAGCTCTGAGCAGGGGGGATCAACGACCTCTACGGACCAATTCGCTCTAATTGACGCAATCCACGCAATGAGCGTACAAAAACCAACTATTTGAATAGAAAAACGAACACACAGAGTAAACACATGGAAACGCCAAGAAAAGGCGGTCAGAGAAACATATTCTAGGCATATGTTCAATAAGAGGAGAAAAATTTGAATGAATTTGAAGTAAAACGTTATCATGTATTAGACTTTAAGTCTTTGATTGGTTAAATAATTTGATTTTTACAAATTTTCCCAATCCCTTTTGTATTTATTATGCGATTGTAAATTTTTGTTATTATTTTTAGCCAAAACACTTTTGAATTGGTCGAAAAAAAATGTTGAAAAAGTATTTGGAAATTTAATTTTCTCTACCCGTAAAGTACATGAAATTATTGTAGCTACTTTAAAGGAACTTTAATTGATTTTCTTATTATATTTACAAGTAGTTTTAAGACAAATGACACATTATGTAACACATTAAGCTAAGCGGGCTTACGATTTTATAACCAAATTATATCCCTAACTTATACATCTACATGCATACCCACATACCCATAAATACATATATGCGAACATACTTATTATGGCTCATTAACACAAAGTAGCTAAAAAAGTAAAATTCTTATAATGAATAATGATACTTCTTGACATTAACAAAAATAGACACACATTTAGAAAAGGCTTTACTTGTAGAACAACAACAACAACAACAACAAATGAAGGAACAGCAATAACGGCAAGAAACAAAGCAAAACTATTTATATTCAATGAAAAAATGATGGAAAATACATACAAGAGTTTGTAATAAAGTGAAAAATGAATACTAATCGGACCGCAAAAGAGGTTCTGCATAATCATTCGTAGTTGGGGAAAGCGACTTACCGTTGAGTGGGAGAAGTTTTAACACAATTTATGGCACACTTCTAATGCACACTACCATTCCATTTTGCCTTTCAGAATATCAATGGAGACTGCTGGTCTGCCCATACCCGGTTACCACTACATTGCGCCCAGTGCAATTGTTAAAACACCCATTCACTAAATGCAACAATTAACCGCAAGCTATACAACAGCCACGCAGCCAACTGAAGGTGGAGGAAGATCCTGGCCGGAGGATGCTGGATGCTGGATGGAGGATGCTGGATTGAGGATGGAGCAGGACACAGGCAGAGAAGCAGCAGAAACATGAAACATAAACGTCAAATGTTAAATCATAAGCAATATAACAAAAAAAAAAAAAAAAAAAAAAGAAGGAAATTTAAGGAGAACAGAACTCATACGACACTGTCAGCGATCACACATTGAATACATTACACTCATACCCCCAGACACACACCACACTCATAGACAGACTCGAAGAGAACCATACATACACGTTATATTTATTCATTGATTCTTATTAATTATGATATTTTTCATTAAGTTTTAAATGCAAGGGCAAAACAAATACAAGAACTTTTATGTTAAACCGTTTTCAAGGGGGCCCAACGGATCACGTGTGGCCACCTAAAGTAAGAACAGAACAGCAATTAATTGTAAGATTAGTCAAAATGAAGACAAAATAAAAAGTATAAAAATCAATTAACCACGTAAACATACAAAAATGCGAAAACGGCAGCAATTTCAAAATGCAGTTAATTCTAAGCCAACTATTTGTGCATGAGCATGACCAAAAAAAGAAACAACAAACAACAAACACAAGAAAAACAAAAACAAAAAGTAAAAGTAAAAGAAAAGAAATGGAAAAAAGGAGAACGGATATGGATATGGATGAGACATTGAACATACAAGCAAACAAACCAAGCAAGCAAAGACAGACAGATAGATGATTACAGACACAACATAAATTATATTTACAGCAAATTGCATCTAGCATTGATGTTTGCGTTTGTTAGTTGTTTGTTTATATGTATACATATATATTATATATAGACACGGCGATATATTGATATGATAATTTTTATTTTATTATTTCTATTATGGTAATTGTTATCGAAATTGTATTTGTGATTTTTGAATATGTTTAGACTGATGTGCAAAATTAATTCTGTTTATTAATTACAAGTAAACTACACATAACAAATTATGGACTAAATACTAGATATCTCTCTCTTTCGTTCTATATTCTATGAATTTACTCATTTATTCAAAATTAGATTTAATTTGTTGACAGCAACAAATATTGATAAACAAAAATCTAACTAGCAAAAGGATTTCCAATTGAATATCTTATCAAATATGTTGTAGTTTCTTTCGTTTGGTTTCTAGTGAAAATGCCTACTGCTGAATGGTAAACCACATTTAATCTACTTACAAATTAGCGAAAACAATTCGAGTTACAATAATAATTTATAAGCACTTTTGCGGCGATTTAAAAGACTTTCTGAAGCGTTGAAAAAAACGAGAAATGGATTTAAATATTATATTACAATTATGCTTAAATTAAAGTATAATTTAAATTTATTAGCTGTTAAATTTATACGCAAAAAAAAACTAAAAAACAAAACAAAAAACAACCACAACAAAGAGAACATCAAAAATAAACTGATTTTCAATGTTAAAATTAAATTAATTTTATTCTAATTTAGTTCATAGGCTGGGCAGTTAAAACCAAAAAAAAAAAACAAAAATACACAAGTGTGGTAATTACTTTAAGTCACACAAAAACGTTTAGTTACTTATACACACTAATTCACAACAAAGCCTCTGGATATGAGCTAAACGGTGTCGAAAACCGAAGGTGAAAGCGAGAGCATCAGTTTGCAAAATGGCAAAATGTGTCAAATTTTATTATACATATTAATTATTTAGTAAGAAAAATTATCAAAGCATAAAAGAAAACAAAAAACATATCCACAGCAACCGAAAACCAATCTAACCAGAACTTATTATATTATCCAACAAGAGATTCAAAATGAACAAGTTATAAATCCAATCAATGCATACATTTAACGGCAAACATATCCCAGAGAACGCAATGCATAAATCTATATAAATATCTATGATTTATTACTACCCCTACATGTTATCGCGGTATATCTTTTGACATGAATAATTGATTGATCTTTAGTTTCATCAGCCATTGATAATTTAACATCTTCCGCTCACACAAAAAAGACAAACTTATGAAACAACAAAACTTGATTACAGGAAATTGTTAATAGCATAAAGATTAATACTATAAATAAATAAACATGTAAACCACAATAGGACGAGCCTAGCCAAAAACGTAAGCTCCTCTTGTTGAATAGAGTATACCGATGAACTACTCGAGGATCGAGCATCAGGCAGGCGGTGGATAAATGATATCATATGGCGAAACTATTTCGTGATTTTAGTGACAAATATATTTCGCTGACGACAAACAATTTGAAGCAATCATTTTGAAATCAAGAACTTCGGTTCCCAACTTAAGTCGGAACGGAAGGGAAGAGAAAATATTGAGAAACAGAAAAGAAAAAAACAGTCAAGAAACCGTATATCTATATATAAATAAATGATATATCTATATATAAATATACATAAATTAAATATATACTTATTATTATGTACACTTGTATTTAAATGTATTTGAAATATTTAGTAAATTTTTTGCGCAAGTTACACAAAAAGAAAAAAGAAAAATAACAAACAAAAACACTAAAAAAAGATGAAGGCGGCGGCTATGGAGATAGACGGGTCAACAGTGGCTAAGTGGGATTATTTGTAATATAAAACTAATGAAAGGGATAATTAATTTATGTGTATGTGTGTATAAGAGAAATAGCTCAAAAAGATTTCACAAACAATTTTTACTAAATATGCGTGTAATTAATGTAATTATTAACGACATTTTGTTGATATCTTGTAAATTTGCAAAGGAAAAATACGTGTAAGAAAAGCAATTTTAATGGTGCCTTAAAAACCAAACCAAGCAAATTTCTTCTAGCCTGCCTTGCCTGCCCCCCCTCAGCGAACTCAACAGTACTCAACTGGATGGCATGTGAGTTTTCCACTCCTTTCTCCCACTCTTCTCGATACTTCCCACGGGCTCCAGTCTATTTTGGCCGATCCGATCAGATCGGATCGGACCAAGTGGCAGGACCCGTTGATATCGTGCGATATGCTTAACTAAAGCTGTGTTATCGTTTCGACATAAGAACTTATCCCTTTTAGCGACACGTGGTGACGGTGACCCACACAATTGCTCAAAAGCTATCCGAGTCTGTGCGCAGTTGCCCGTTACACTTCGATTTCGAAATCGAATTAGAATCCGAGTTTGATTTGGATTCGGTTTACAAGCGAACTTAGCTGCAAGAACAAGAACAAGAACACGTAGTGGACGTACGACACTGAGACCCAAGAGAATATCAACAATTAGCCCGAGCAAATGAATACCCAGAACACAAGCAAAACAACAAACATATTATTAATATTATATACATATACAGCAAACCAAACACACATATTAATGTTTCTCTCAGTGTAATTACAAATCACTTGAATGTATTTGCTCACACTTTTACAATACATGTCGAAGAACTCTACACAATAAGCAACAAACGTAAAAGCATTTAAGGCACTTGATCGGTCGAATGAATTTGGATCGTTGGATGGATGCAAGGTCATTGTTAAAGAAACGCAACTGTAGGAAAAGAGTATAAAAAAAAAACAGTATAAAGGAAAACCAATCCAAACAAAACAAAATAAAAAAAAAACATATTTATATACAGATATAAAGAAAAATTGAAACTTAACATTAAGGTATTTTAGATATTCTTATTTAATATCCAGAAAAAGACAAGAAATTATACGAGCAAAGTTTTAATTTAGACGCAGAGATAGGGGAGAGAAATGGGAGATCGGGTCTAAGTAATGAACAAATATATGTGTATTTAACTAACTAAATATCGGTGTTAGAATCGTTAAGGAAATTTAGAAATTTGAAAAGGAAATGGCAGGATCACAGAGAGGCCGCCTTGCGATTTACGGGAGAGTGCTCTACCGATTCTTCCTGCTGGAGAACGCTAACAATCCTGTTATTCGATTCAGTTACTTACAAACAAGTACATATGTCTTTTTGGTTGCCACATTATCGCATTTGTAGCGTATGAGTCGCATACACAGAGGGAGAACGAAAAAATATAACTACGTGTATTCCAATTCATCAAAGCAATTGAAGAATTAATAGAACACCTAGACAGGGACGGAGCTATGTAAAATATGTACGTTCACTTGTCACTAGAAATATACGAAACATCTAAGGTTTCTCAGCATAACAAAGCGAATCAAAGCAAAAACCAATTATCGAGCATAATATCTTATAAACCTACGTAGAGCAACAACTTAACCACTTACGTACATATTTATACACATGCATGTATACATATAGACAGCAGCAACAGGGTCTCATAGCTTCTTCAGACAATATAGGTAGGTACACATATCCCTGGGTGTTGGAATCGGGCCGAAACGAACCGACAAACCGAATAGATATTGAGGCGGCGCAGCGCAGCGTAGTGCAGTACACTAAAATTCAACGGTGTTTTCAATGAAATTAGCATATGTATATGTTTATGTATATGTGTGTGTTTGTATATGTGTAACAAAAACATTTGAAGATCTCGAAATCCAAAAATGGGAACCGAAAACCAAGAAGATCACTGCATTTCCTTGTTAATCAGCATGTGGATGTGGATAATGAAGGGAGGCAAACTATTTGCCTAGCATGTCGAACTCTATCTTACTCTCATCTTTGGAGAAGACGAAAAGAATGAATATGCAGCATAAAATTGATAAAACTGAACAATTGGGATCAACTTATATTTTAAATATAAGATTAAATTGTAAAGACAAAACCAAAGCAAACCTTTTAATTAAGCCCCGGAGTTTGTAGAGGTTACGGTTACGTACTACATACCATATGTATATCAAGCAACGCCTCAAAATGTAGAGGAGGAGAACACAATTTGTGCCAAAACAATGAGGTAGCAGGCGAAGCAGACGAACAATAGATACCAAACTTAAACTGGCCAAAAGCACAACAGCAGCCACAAACGACAAACACAAAGTAAATGTTAATTCTTTGCTTTGCTTTGTTTTTTTTCGGGGAACAACACATAGGAATTATACGAATTTCAATGGATTCACAGTCGTCAGACAGCTACTCACAAAAGTATTTAAATGTTCACACTTGCTCAAGGCAAAGCACTTAAAGGAGCTTATTTAACGAAAACCAAAACCAAAACCAAAACCACAACTAAAACCAAATCAAATCAATACTAAACCATATAGATGTGTGTATTCATTTCCACATAAATAATATTCAATCTGGCTGTATTCGCAGTTTAATTGCTAGAAGGTGCCAAAGATCCCAGATGAACCAAAGCTAAATTGGACTTGGACGGCAGTTCATTCCCCATTGGTTTCGTTGCATACTTTTAGGCGAAACTTTGAGGCGTTCGAGATTTACGTTGCATACACAGCAAAAAACTAAGTAAAATAAATTATCGATTAATTGGAAAAATTAAGAGTAAACAAAAGCAAAAACTAACTAAACATATTTACAAGTTGAAGAAAACTGCAAGGCAATCATATAACTAGAGCTTCAATAATAAAAAAAGGACAAATGTCATAAGGGGAGGGAATTATGGCTATGAAACCAGTTAAAATGCCTAGAGAGTGTTTTGGATAAATATATATTTAAGCAATACTCACAAATGGATTTAAACTATTTGCGTTATGATTGTGGTTAAAGCAAAACAAAGGAGGGGTTAAAAGAACAAAACCAAAAGTTAGTGCCAATTTTTAGTGCAAATTTTTGCGTAATTGTTTTCATTTCAACGTTATTAAAGATACACCAAAGTTAAAAAATAATGCAAACGAACAGTTGGTTTCAGAACCACCAATTTTTGGGAAATTTCAAACCAGAGACAAGGAGGACCTAAAAAGGCAAGCACCGACGGACGAACTTAAGGCAAACCAACACGTAGCACTCAGCACCGCATAGTTTTCGATCTGAACCAAAGTGTGTAGTGTAGTGTAGAGGCTAACTAACCCACGTACATGTAGCTTAGCTCAAGATACATTTTCACCATTCTTTTGCACTCGACAGCCGGACTGGGAAACTTTCTGGGAGGCTTTAGCATTGCCTTAGGTCCCAGGATACATTTTGAAAGCATCAGAACAGGAATTTTTAGGTTACCGACACTCAAAGAAAAACTATGGAAACACAAACACACACGCAAAAAGAAGCGATGCCATGTTAAGTCGGCAATGGAAAATATAAAATAAAAGTTAAGCCATAAGTGAAATTAATATTGTTTATCTGTGTACAACAATAATATTAAAATAATTCTTAAATGTGTATTATGACTCTGTAAAGAACAAAACAAACTGAACAACACTCATTGCGAACTCATTGACACACGGCCACGGCTATATCGGAGTGACATGTCCCATGGGACAGATTCGATCAGACCGCTCGGAGGAGACCGAAACTCCGCGATCAGTGAGGCGTTGGGAGTTCCGATCTCTGACCCGGACAGCCCTATAGACGATGCTCTTCATATGTTGGACTTTAGACACAGACATGCCCGAACTCACACAGAACTTAATCACAATAAGCAATCAGAACGGTATTAAAGAATTCTTAAATAATGGCAAAATGTACAAGAAAACGGTAAATGCGAGTTGAAATAAACAATACAAAGTAATGAAACAAAACTCGAAAAGCAAAACATTATTTACAACATATTTACAATTCTATAAATTATATTTAAAAGTATTTACATATATATGAAGAACAAACTCAAATTGTAAGTATGTGCGACCCCACATAGAACCCCGAAAACAGGACACGGTCTCACACACACACACACACACGCACACTCACATCTACTCGACTCACGCATACGTAGGCATCGCCATCAGGGTGTAACGGTACAGGACGAGTAAATCAGGAGAGCGAAACTCTGGGACTGCCTTCTCTGACCACACCGACATTTACACTAGACAAACGCTCACATTTATGTGCAATACGACAGACTCCAAACACACAGTCACACGCAAAGTTAAGTGCATTATAATTGAATTTATAGAGTTAAACGAAGCTATTAAGTGAAATTATTTAAACTGATTAACTGATTATGATTATTATTAACGATGCATACGCATTTACTCACAACTCATATACACACCTATATATAAATATATATATATACATGGCATATATCGCTGAAGAATATTTTCGTTGATCAAACAATCCATATAAGCAAATAAATTATAAGTTATCATATACCACATCATATCAAACACAGAAAATTACTGCAAGTTTACCCAATCAACAAAAAAATTGTAAAAAATCAAGATCGATTTTTGAAAGCTACATAAATGTGTTGCGTTCTTTGAATAAATGTTTTTGAGTCACATTTTTACTTCAAAAACAAATAAAAAAAAAACTTAAAAAATAATACATTTAATAGAAAGCAAGACACACATAGACCTAAACAAAAGAACGTTGAGTAGATACATTCTTACAGAGTATCTGTGTGAAAATCGTGGAAATATTGCAGAAAATTTATCTAAAAAATGTACCACTTGTGTAAGAAAATATGCAAGATAAGAAGAACAAAAACCAAAACGAGAATTTAACACAATTTTTGAATTCATTAAATAAAGGTATGTGTTTAGATATATTCAAAACAAACCAAACTGTTTTTTACTTAATATGGTTTTGGGTGACTAAGCTAGTCGACTTTTTTAATTGAAGTTCGTTAAGTTAACCTCCTTAGATACAGCTTATACAATAATGGGGACGTTAACAATTCGTATTGAAAGGGCTTTCGAAAGCGCATGATATCTGTAATAATGGAACAGACGCCACCAGAAATATAATCAAGTATACGACGTGGTGTTCGGTTGTTTTGATTTGATCAATGCAAACAGCGAATGGCACGAGGCCAACTACGGATAACAACGAATGCCGAAAAAACCGCCAAACTTCATTCACAAAAGCATACAAAAACAATCCAAAAATATATATGTACATATGCAATATCACAGAGACGAATTTGGAGAGCTGAGCAAGTCAACATTTAGGAGAGTGACAGAGAGGAATTTTAAAAGAAACACAATTTTAGACTCCACGTCATTTAGTGACTTGTTATTTTGTAATTACGCTCTAAAACCAGAAAATAGGCAGTGCAAAAACGAAATTAAATTATATTTTGACAGTAACGCGTTTCGGGTTTACAGATCAAGCACGTTAATTAAAAAATCCCATTATTATCTCCGGTATTTCCATTATTTAGTATTTGCATTACAGTCAAACTGTTATAAGATAAACTTTGAAAATTATAGTACAAAAATTATGTTTTAATATTATTTGTAAACTTAATTCTTAGGTTTTATTAAATATATCCGTCGATAAAGAAATTGCACCACCCAAGGCAACTACCCTCCAATGTGGGTTTTCACTGTAAGTCGTTTTCAAATCGATACCGTTCCGGTTTCGCATACCTTATATACCCTCGCAAAGGCTGTTATTATTTTCGTCAGAAGTTTGTGAGTGCAGAAAAAAACGTACATATCTCCGACTATAATTATTTCGTATAGACATGCCCGTCAGTAAAAATCTAGTGTATGGGATGATTTTATGTTACAGCTAACACAGTAACGAGGATAATAAAACATCGGTACTCGCAAGTTCACTTCTGTTATCGTTTTTATAACTACATTTTATAATAAAACTATAAAGAAATTAATTTTTACAAGCCAAAGTCAAAAAAGATGAAAGTGAAAAGGGAAAGGGAAAACCCCTTGCAGATTTACATAAAATGAAATATTAGATTTTTATGCTTATATTATAAGTTTATCACGATTCACTCTTTCAATTTTTTCAATGACACGAATATATATACACAAGCAACATTTAAACTGTAATTTTAAAATAGTAAATTATCACTTCATCCAAAAAATAGAATTAATATAGTTTGGTTCCTTGTTTCATCCACAAAGTCCTCAAAGTAAGAGAATAGTTTGCCTAGAAAGAGGCGGACGGACAAATGCTGATCAAGACTATTATCTCCTCATTCTATTTATATAATATTTTGTAATACACTTTGCAAGGGTATAGAAATATGGTCGTGCTATTGTAATTTGATAATAATTTCACGCATTCTTGTAATTACCTTTAAATACAATGCTGTTTATAATTTCCCTAGCTTGGTATTGAATGTAGCCGTCCGGTTGAAAACTAAATCGTTTTAATCGAACCCATTTGTATAGCAGCTAAACCAAACACTAAGTCTTTATTAATTTATTAATTAATTTAATTTGCACTGAATATCAAGGTTACATATATTTTATATGACCGATAATATTCCCTGATTATGGCTAAAACAAAGACTGCCTTTAAAAGGGTACTAAAACGCAAACACAATCATTGCCCTAATATAAAACTCTTTGGCCCTGGTCATGAACATGATTAACATATCTATAGAACATTTACGACTGCATATAGTTTATTCTATAGGTATATATATACCTACTGTCTGCCCCTGAGCAAGTGCGTCGGCCTAATGGTTTGGCCGCTGGCCAATTCGGAAAAGGAAAAGACATATAAATTATGGAACAATCACGTTTGCGGCACGTGACCCTTAGAAATTATCAAATTCGTGAGAAATTATAAATATGGATGCTCGATTTTCTAGGGGAAAAACTTGAATAGATAAATAAATGCTAATATATACACTATATACACTTAGACAATAATACTTTACGACTCTCATTATAATAGCCAATAATGTGATTCATTTTATTATCCATATTCTAGTTTGATGGAAAAGCCCGTGAAATTCCCAAATCAATATCAGGACGAGCTTGGGTTTAATAGCACTGGTGAGGAAACCTGTCCGTTGGACTTTGACTACGTATCACCCGTAGTGGATCCCGCGATCCACTTTCACCGTAGCCAATCCCACGCCGACACACTACACCGCGGCATAATCTCCAAGCGAGTCTACCAAAACTCGGAACCCCACGAAACCGGCAGTCTTATCAAGGCGCCCATGCCGCTCAACAGTTGGTCGGTCGATCGGTCGGTGGTGCGATCTTCCTCACTCGTCGACGGACTCGAACAGCGATCGTTGATCGTTGATTGCTAGCGTCGCGTTCCGGAGATCGGAGATCGCAGCAGGCACTCGCAGTGCGAGACGCGATCCGCTGCCCTACACATCGCGTAACTGCTCGGGGCGTCGTGGGTAAAAATAAGTGTATATGTTAGAAACCGTAAATGAAAATAACGCAGTGCATAAATAAACCAAATACGCTTCTGTTCTGATTCGGTTCCGAATCACTGAGGGCAAAGATTGGGAAATGGCAGCCAGCGAAGCGCCACCCACACAGGCAACGGTGGAGGTGGAGTTGCCACCGCCACCGGTGAAGGATTCGGAGGACGTGACCCTGGACGCCATATTGAAGCATCTGGGCCAGTTCGGTCGCTTCCAGCTGATCATATTCATGCTGATCTGCCTGCCGATGATGTTCCATGCCATGTTCTCGGTCACATATGTGTTTACAGCCGCCACCGTGTCGCACAGGTGAAGTTAATGGCCAGTCAATGGGCCTTTACCGTCTGACTTAGTTGTCCAAGTTCGAATCCGAATCTGAATCCGAATCCAAAAATCCAACCCCCGACAGGTGTAACATCGCAGAGTGCGATACGCCGGAGAGCGCCTTCTACGAGCCGCACACGGAGTGGAGTATCCCCAGGCATGGCCGGGATCTGGACGCCTGCAAGCGGTACACCAACTTGGAGCTGCCCCAGTGGAACCAATCGGTGGCCGAGGACATTTGCTTGCCCATACATTTTACGAACATTTCGGAGGCCTGCCCCGACAACAAGTTCGTGTTCCGCGACAATGAAGTTACCATTTCGAATGACGTGAGTATCAAAGTACCACTGCCATTGGGGGTGCTGTTATCAGGTGCTACGACACCAGACCAACTGCATGCCAGACTCTCAAATCCCACGGCGGCAGACGTTGGACTTTGATAACAAGTCATCCGATTAAGGCACCTGCTGCCTGGATCAATGCATACTCAAACAAACTCCAAAATGGTCATTTACTCAGAATTTCATCATGTCATAAATACCCTTATCTGTAGGACATCAGAGTTAAATCAAAAATATCAGAGTTTGATTAATTTGATTATTAAGGTATTTATTAACTTGCTCAGAAAATAGCCACTCCACATCGAAGTACAGAGATTTTAGGGTAATCAAATTCGTATGGAGCACTCCCCCCAGTTGCTTTCAAGATCACAAGGCCTAATTATCGCACGGGTTCAATGACTAAATTTGTATTTCAGCGATAGCAGACGAAAAGTAGTTTACAATCTTAATCAAATAGTGGGCACTCAGACGGGGCCCGCAATGGGTTAGGAAAATGATAGGATTGCAGTAAACGATCGTAAAACTCTTAACGTATTGATTATACGTTACTCAACTAGCAATATAACGTATACGCCAAGTGCGCCAGCTGGATTAACAGAAAGACCATTGTGAAGGTCCAAAGGTAAACAGAATTCATAATATTTAGTTAGCGATTTAGGCGTAATGGAGGAATTTTACCACTCATAAGGTAAACAAATTTTGAGCGAACATCTGATGTGCCAACCTTTGAGCAGATGATTATGTTATGTTCCCTTTTGGTAATGCCGGAAGCTGTTGCCTAAGTGGCCTGATGAGCTTTCATGCCGAAACGTTCTTTATCAGACAATTGGACACGTAGATGGGAGAACAGTAGCCAGCTGACAAGTACCTCAGACAGCAATAGCGTAGCAATTGCAACATGGAAAAACAAATTTAGATTAAGATAGGTACATTAAGGTTACAATTTACATTAATAGTTAAGGTGGATATCAGATACGGCTCGGGAATTAGAATCTTTCGGATGATACCCTGACCTATATGCAATGTAACAAAGCCGATTGCGAATTATAGCAGCATAAAGTCGAGCTTGATACTCTGAGCTTCATTCAATATGACCACCCTCTGTGTATATGTTTTACAAGAAAGGAAGCAAACTTCGGCAAGCCGAAGTTCATATACCCTTGCAGCTATTGCAAAAAGTAAATATTCTTGATAACATTAAAATTATAATTTACTTGCGCATATGTTTAAAAAAATTGAATCATATCTCATGATTTGGAGCTCAATTATTCGATAGTTTCTATTTTAATAAAATTAAAAGCGTTATTTTGAACTGTCAAATTATTAATAAATCAAAAAGAATTAAAACAAGAAAAAAAGCAAACTTCGGCAAGCCGAAGTTCATATACCCTTGGAGCTATTGCAAGAATTAAACATTTTTGAAAACATTAAAATTATGATTTACTTTCGTATATGTTTAAAAACATTGAAGCTATGATGATTTGCAGCTCAATTATCTGATAGTTATTTTATATATTTTTATTATTTCTATGGGAGCAATATGATATAGACGTCCGATTTTGATAAAATTTAAACCATAATTCTGAAATATTAAACAAAAAATTAAAAAACAGCAAAGTTATAATTTTTTTTTATTTATTTTTCCGATTGTTCTTATGGGAGCTATATGTTATAGTCGTCCGATCCGGCTCGTTTCGACTTATATACTACAATAGAAAGACAACTTTTGGGAAAGTTTCATGCTCTTTTTTAATTTTTTTTATTTCTTCGACAGAAAGTAATGCTTAAATATTTTAGAATGACTGTTTAAATTTCATCAAAATCGGACGTCATTAACATAAAGCTTCCATAAAAAAATACAAATATTTAAAAAAAATATTTTTTTTAATGTAACTTTTCTATTTTGTAATATTCTTAAACATTCTTTTTGTCCTATTAACAAATTGACAGTTCAGTTTGCCCTTTAATTTTATTAAAATCGGATAACGATATAATATAGCTACCATAGGAACTATCGAATAATTGAGCTGCAAATCATTATAGCTTCAATGTTTTTAATCATATACGCAAGTAAATCATAATTTTAATGTTTTCAAAAATGTTTAATTTTTGTAATGGCTGAAAGGGTATATGAACTTCGGCTTGCCGAAAGATGAAATTGTTTGACTCTATATGGCTCGCAAATTGCACAGAAAATAAATGGTCCACATGAATGAGGGTCTTCAAATAGCACAGCTTTTTGAGCGAAGACTTGTTATAATAAAAGATTTGCATCATGAAAATAGTTTCATTGTAGTTCGGCATTTTCTGCGATGATGAGTGGAAGCTATCAATGGTCGGAACCATAAATAACCTGGGACAGTTCTTCGGCATTCCCATCGGCGGCTTTGTAGCAGATCGGTTAGTGTGCTCCATATCTCGTAGTTAATCCAGTAAATAGCAATCCACAATCCCACCCATCAGCTATGGACGCAGCTTCTCGATCGCTTTGGGCGGCATTTTGGGCGCTGTGCTGGGAGTCATTCGGTCCTTCTCGCCCAGCTACGGCTGGTTCCTGGTGTTCGAGTTCCTGGACAACATGACCAGCAGCACACTGTACTCCACCTGCTTCGTGATCGGCATCGAGTTGGTGGGACCCAAGCGACGGGTGCTGGCCTGCAGCGTGATCACGGTCTTCTATGCGGTGGGCGAGGTGCTGCTGGCCATGGCCGCCAAAGCCTTCCCCGACTGGCGCATCCTGCTGCGCATCACCTATTTGCCCTCGCTGATCCTGTTGGCCTACTTCTGGATCCTGCCGGAGAGCGTACGCTGGCTGCTCAGCCAGGGCAAGGAGGAGCGGGCCAAGAACATACTCCGGCGGGCAGCGCACGTCAACAAGCGCGAGCTGCCGGAAGGCATGCTGGACAAGCTCGTGCTGGCCAATCGGGACAAGCTGGAGCAGTCGGCGGAGAGCCGGTTTCCCATCCGCGAGGCCTTCAAGAACTTCAAGTGGCGCATCGCCAACTGCTCCTTCTGTTGGATCGTCCACGTGCTGGTCTACTACGGTCTGAGTCTCAATGTGGTGCTGCTCGACGGCGACAAGTACAACAACTTCGCCTACGTGGCCCTGGTGGAGATTCCCGGCTTCTTCATGCCCCTGTTGATCATGGACCGCATCGGCAGGCGGTATTCCCTCTGCGGCTTGATGCTGGCCAGTGGCCTCTGCTGCGTCGGAACGATCTTCGCCGGCGGGGATCAGCCGCTGCTCCAGCTGGTGCTGTTCCTCGTCGGCAAACTGACCATCACTGCCAGCTTCCAGGTGCTCTACTTCTTCGCCTCTGAGATCTACCCCACGAATCTAAGGAACAGCCTGCTCAGCTTCTGCTCGATGATGGGCAGGTTCGGCTCCATGCTGGCACCGCAAACGCCTCTTCTGGTGGGTACTCTGTGCAGCACTTCTGTTCCTCCGTTCTCTCCTAAGTGCCTTGAAATCTCTCTCTTCCAGGCGAAGTATTATGCCAGTGCTCCGGCCATGCTCTTCGCCGGTGCCGCCATCGTGAGCGGACTGCTCACCCTGTTCTTCCCGGAGACCACCAACGTCGTTCTGCCCACCACAGTGCAGGAGGCGGATGCCATCGGTATCAAGAAGAAGCCGTCGCAGGGCAAGGAACTCGATCTGGTCGGTGCGGCAAGCCAAACGCAGTGATCAGTGGAGTATAATCTTAGTCTAGGCAGCCTGCAAATACAAAGACATTTATCTTTAAAATTGTTACAACTTTAAGATTAAGCCATATATATACATATATCGATTTTATAGCATTAACAGAGCACTGGGTTTGATTTATTGAAATTGATGGATGGAAGTGGTAATGATCAACATTCATACTTAAGCCTAAGGTTATAGAAAATGAAGAATGTACAATTAAAAATATGTGCGTTTCATTAACTGACTTGCTTGTCAGAACTTATAAATGTGAATCAATTTACAAATAACATAAAAAATCTTCATTTCTCATTTAACTGCGTAATATTTATATTTGGCAGCAATAACAAAACAAAAAAATTCACAAATCAATTTTGCTGTCCAGAGCCTGATTTGCAAAACATATAGATATTTGCACAATCAAAATATTTTGTGTTTTTTGTTTGGAATTAAAAAAAAAGAAAAAAATTTCATTCAAGTTTGATAAATTCCCAAAACAAAAGGTGTGTTCTTAACTTTGCTTTCGCTTAAATCTTATAGAAATCAAAAGTTCGAGTGTTAAACTAAAGCTGTTTGTGGTCCATTCTTAGTAACTAATCTAGATTAAACTGGATGGCATGGATGGGAATCAATTCCTTTGGCTAAAAAACTGGGCAATTGTCTTGTTTCCACTTGAGGAGGCGGCAATTGTGTTGTTCAACTGCCCTTGTTTTTGCTTCTTTGGCTGAGCCGGTGAAGTCTTCTCCTTGCCAAGGGCCGCAGTTCGCGTGCGCAGATCCTGCTGGTTCAGTTCTCGCTGCAAGTTTCTGGCCACGTGGTAGTCCAGGTGCTCCGGCATGTCCACGCTCTTGATGTAAGCCTTGCACTCGGTGCACTGCTGCATTTGCGAGTCGCTAGAAGGTTGCTCCTGGGTTGGCTTGGCGCTGAAGAACTTGGTAATGCTGTTGGTGGACCGAACTGTGGTATTGGCCACGCTAGCAGAACCAGCCGTCTTCTTAACCTTCTTCGGTGGCGTGGGTTTGGGCGACACCTTCTGGCGACCCTGCATCCGCTCCTCCCGCTCGCTGCTTCGCAGCTGTTGACTCAACTCCTGGGCGAAGTGATGGTCCCTATGCGTTTGCAGGCTTCTGACGTCGTCGGGTATACTAGCTCCGCACTGATCGCATTTGACCATCGGTAGAAGATCGATGCGAAGCTCGGGGACTGCAAACTCTGCGTAACTTTGCTTGTAGTTTTTGTCAGAACTGTCCAGTTCGTCGAATTTCCGTTTGGAAGTCGAAGGCAGCAGTTCTTCTTCAGTGAGAGGAGGGAGCTTAAGGCGATCGCAGTGCTCCATATTCTCGTTATTGGATTCGGATAGTTCCTTTTCTGCTGTAGCACTGGAAGGTGTTGTTTGCTTCTCTGGCGGAGCTTTGAAAGATGGTCTCTCTTGCGCATTTTTGGATGTGGAAGGTAATTCGTTTGCCACTGATTTAAAGGTATTCTTAGTTAAGTCCGTCTCCTCTTCAGTGTCTGCATCAAAATCTTTTGTGTTACTAGCCTCAATGGCGTCCAGTTCTTCGGCCAAGTTTAGCATGTCCGATGAGTCTTCGCCTGCTGCCTCAGACTCATGCTGACGAGTAGCTTTTTGTTGTTTCAGGTACTGGGAAAAGAAACTTTCCTTTAACTCTGGCGGCGTTGAGGTGGGAGTCGTTCCCTCCGCTGCTGATTCGGTTTTTGTGGCCGCATGGAGTTTTTGTTTGTACTCTTCGACGAAACTCTTCTTTTGTTCAGCAGCAGTTAAGTGCTCCTCAGGTTGGACTTCTGACTTTGTATCCTCCTTTTTCGCCCCCTGCAGGTAGTTGGCGAAGAAGTTCTTCATCTTAGACTCCTCCGTCTGCTTTGGCTTAGCTGGCACTTGGACCTTTGGCGGCTGCACTGCCTCCTCCACGCTGACCCTTCGCTTTTTGGCAGCCTGGTTGGCAAACATCTCCTGCAGCTTGTTCTGGGCATTCGAGACGGTTTCGAACTTGCCCACACTGATGCCAAGGAACTTGATGGCATTGTTCAAAACGGAATCGCTGCCGGAGCGCAAAAACGTCTTAGTGTTGGCCTTGATGAGGTCCAGGGCATATTTCGCGATGGACTCCTGGTCGTAATCCTTGAGCGCTGTTGATCGGGAGCTGGCCACCTCCTCGCCGTCAATGTCCTGCACGTATTGTACCACCATATGCTTGGCCTTGCGGTTGTTCTCGATGAAATCCTTCTCCAGCCGGTCGTTGATCTCAGAGGAGAGCTCGCCCAGCCAGTGCTGCAGCGTTTTCAATCCCGTAATGTTGTTCCGGCCCGGAAACTTTTTGCAGCAGCCGATACTCTTGGAGTAGAAGCGCGGAGTCACTGCCTCCAGATCGATGCCGCGGGCGATGTTAAAGAGCCAGGTACTGGAACGAGAAGAGATAAGTTACTCCGAACGGGGTTCAGTCCAGTTACTTAACGCACCCATTCTTTTCATCAAACTTTCTCTGCAGCTCGGCCTCCGTGAACTTGACCACCTGGCCCAGGAACTTTATGCCCAGGGTCTCGCACACCACCTCGCCGAACTTGCCGCCCAAACCCTTGATCTTGCCCACGGGCAGGGAATCAAAGAGAGCAGCGGTCTCCGCCAGCGGCAGAATGGTCTGCTTGTTGGGCTTGTTCATGCCGGCCGCCAACTTGGCCAGGATCTTGTTGTGCGCTATTCCCGCCGAGCACTCGTAGCCGGTCTCCTCCTTGACCGCCAGCCGCACCTCTCCGGCCACAGAGGCGCCGATGAGCAGTCGTATGTCGCTCTGCCGGACGGCGGGAAGGTCGTTTTGATCGTAGGACATCTGGAAGCGTTCGTCGTCCACGTAGGGATTGGCGAAGCGGTTCGTGATCTTGTTGACGTAGTCGCCAATGTTGGGATAGCCCACGGCGAAGGTGTTCACCAGTTCCTGGGGCTTAAGAGCAAAGGCGCCCTGAAAGGGGGAAAAAGCGATAAGAAATGCTTTCGGCTTGGCGCTGACCACTTACGCTCTGCATCTGCTGCATTCGCAGATTCACGGTCTCCGTGATGTCCAGATAAGCCTCGTCCACGGAGGCGCGCTCCAGGAGCTGCGTAAAGCGCTGCAGCACATTGGCCACCTCCTTGCCGGCGTCGCGGTACTTGCTGGTGTCCGCCTTCTCCCGGATATTGGGCACCTGGCAGAGCACAATGTCCGGGCACAGGTCCTTGGCCTCGTCGCCGCGCATGTGGCGTGTCACTCCCTTCGCGCGAGCCGCATAGTTTACCGCAATGATGCCGCCCCCGCGCCACGGATTGTACTGGACGACGGCTAGCGGTCGATTGCGGTACTCCGGCTGCTGCTTCTCCTCCACCTGGCAGAAGAAGCAGTCCATGTCCACCAGCAGGACCACTCGGTCGTACTTGCTCTGCATGCTGACATGGCTGCGTGAGCTGGTCATGTTTTGATTTCGTATTATTGCGCGAAATTTCCGTGCGCGCCAGCAGTGTGACCGTAGCCGTGGTTTTTTTAAAATACCTTAGAGTCTCGATGAATGTACGTGAAAAAAGAAGTGGCTTTGTTATACCCCAATCACACACAGCACATCCCACCCAAACAAGTGACACTATCTCAAGCATCATCAATGATTGAAAAGTCCAGTTTTGCATATTTATAAAGACTTTAAGATAGTTCCCTGAAATGGAACAGTATTAATTTAAAGCGGTTGTAAATTGCTTAGTTATAGCATTAAACCGGCATCTAAAATCCAGGAAGGTAACAAAAGATTTGAGCATGAGCATCTTAAAGTCGTCAGAGATCATCCCGATTTGGACATCCCTATAGGAGACCGCATAAAGGAGGCCATTGCTCGGAATTTCTAAGTTCTAATAAAATACTAATTTAATTAAGAGATCACAACTTTATTAATGACTAACACAGTTGTTATTTCTTTGCTATATCGTTGGTAAGAGTAAGAAATCTGTTATTGAAGGACCATTTGTCCTCCAACAGCCGAACGATTTGCTCAGTTCCAAAGTCTTCCCTTTGATGTGAACGTTCGTAACGTTCAAAAACTTTAACGCGAAACAATTTCAATTTAATTGTCGGGTATATTGATTTATGTTAACCAGTGAGAAGTAGAAAGAGCAGTAGTAGTCAGACCTTTTTAAAGTTCTCATTAGCTATTAACCCAAGGCTTATAGTAAAATAAAAGTAGAAAAAGAATTTTAAATATTGCACAAGTCCTGTTGGATCGTGCTCTGTTGGCTTCGTAGTTCATATCCTACAGAATTTCCAACCGTTCGTCTATATGTCAATTTATTTAGTCGATAAAATACCAAACTTCTCTTTAACAGTACAATCGGTGCATTTATCAGTAAACAAGGCTTTGGTCACACTACAAGAAAGACTATTTTATTGTTGTTTCGCACGTCACGGTTAAAATATAAACAAACCAAATTCGCTCGTACAATAAAATGGGCGGTTCTGTGTTAAGTTATAATAATGCGGCATAGAAACCGCTAGTTTAAAATAATTAGAAATTGCCGGGTCATCGAGGCCCAAGCGGTAAAGAAATGAGTGTTTACAATAATTGAAACTCTATTTTTTTCTGATAAAAAAGGATTAAACCTTAAGATAAAATCAACAGAAAGTATTTAAGAGTACCTAAGTTCTGTAGCGCCACATTCCAAGAAGTTCATAGGTATTGATTTTTCTCCGGATGCCGCTGCCAAAATGCAATTTACATACACACAGCCTTTGATTTCTGCTCTTCCCCGCCCGCTTCGGATTTCCTGCCCTGGCTTCTCCGTTTCCCAAGCTCATTTGGGTTAATGCACGGATTATGATCGCCGGATTTATTGATTTGACCAAGCGGCCTGAAATAAATGCCCCCCCCGAATCGCGTTCTATTTTCGGCACCCCCGCTTCCGGTTTCCGCCACCTCGCCGGTTGTTTTGATTGATGTGCCGAGTGTATGTCCAGTGTGTGTCCAATGGCTTAATTAGGCAAACGCACGTATAGCCAGTCGGAATCATAATCCCACCTCCCGCCGATGGCCAAACCCATTTCAAGTGGCTCCTAAATCGCCAGCGTGAAATGCGGGGGCAGGGGGTTTGCGACGGACGGACAGGAAGGGCGTGTTTTTGTATACTGTTGTGACCTAATTTCATGTCTGTTTACTTTGTGACTAAAGCGGAGGACTCCAGCGCAGGAATTCCAGCGGAAGTAAAAGGTGCAGCACTGACCTATTGTGACACTCCGTTTGCTTAAAATAGTGTTGCATGTCTAGGGTGAAACATAAATCTATAGATATTTAACTTAAGAGGGGGTGTAGAAATATACTACGAATACTATTAGCATCCTCTAATGAATAATTGTGGGTTGAGATATATTGTAAAACTTTGAAATATTTATATATTGTCTTTCAAAGTAATTAACTAGAATCATTTCTAAAAATTATAACCACAAATTCAGTTTTGACTAAAAGATCTCCCTAGTTATTTGTGATCACAGTAGCTTGAATGCCCATCATAAACAGCTTGAAGTGCTATAAATCTAATCATTATTAATTGCTTCACTCTTACGCTCTCGTAATAATCCACTCTCCCGATCCCTGACCCCAGCATAAGCGCTCAATTATGCTAATGGTTGACATGCCCAAACAAGAACCACTTGACTGAGCCCCCGCTAAGCGGTCCGTCCACTCAACCCACTCCCGTTCGGACTTCCCCGTTCTCTGTCCCACTCCCACTTCCACTGCCTTGCAGAGAACTGCCTGCTCTAGCGACGTATTCGCCGTGAGGCCATCAGTCTGTGCACGTCCGGCGATGAAGTCACTGCTCTCAGTCGAGGGCGTAGTCTGCAATTTGAGACAGCTTAAGTGATAGAGTCGCATCTCTCGCTCTCTCTTTTCCAGTGAGCCACCATGGTGAAGATCCTCCAGGCTTACAACTTTGCTAGGCAACAGACCTACGCTCTGAACGGCGACATCCTAGCGGCCAGCTTGATCGGCAACAACAGGATAGCCATCAGCAGTGCGGAGCAGTTCATTGAGATCTACGACATCGCTGGCAAGCCGAACCAGTCGGAGGACACGAGGAAAGCGCCAGCGGATGAGGGACAAGCGAATGAGGCGGCAGGAGATGCTTCCTGCTCCGGAGGCGATGAGCGGACGCCCAACAGAAGCACTCTGGCCACAGTGGGCGAGGTGGTGCAATTGATTTACTGCGAGGCTGGTGAGTAGCAAGCAATTCAAGCTTTGATTTTAGCAACTTAAACCGAATCTTCCACAGGAAAATACTTGCTCACGCTGGAGAAGGAGCAGGCGGGCAGTCCGGTGCATTCCTCCTCCACCATTAGCTGCACCTCGAGCAGCAACAGTAATACGGTCTGCTCCGAGGACGACACCAAGATGTTCGTGCGCATCTATGCCAACTTTTGGAAGTTCCCGGACAGCCGACTCAACGAGCTGCCCATCACCATCCGGATAGCCTCGATGACCACGCCCAAGACGCCGCTGGTGGAAAGCATCGATGTGATCGAGCTGCCACTGCGCAGTCCGCCGGAGCTGGTGCAGTGCTGTCAGACCTCCGGCAACATTATCGTCAGCAGCCGCGACAGGATCTATCTGTACGAGTACACGCAGTGCGTCCACGAGAATACCCAGCCCAGGTTCTCCTTCATCGATTTCCTGCCCTTCAAGTTCTTCGTGCAGCTGAACTTCATCCCAGTGCGTCTGTGTCTGGCCGAGAACGTGATCGCCTGCCTCAGCCATCGCTATTGCGTGGCCTTCAAGGTGGTGGATGCACTGGCGAGCAGAGCCAGTGGAGGGCAGGACGTGAGTTGCCTGGACAACGACTACGGTGGCGGAGATGAGCCGCTCTCCGAATCCCTCAGCCTCGGCAGCAAGGCTAGTGCCAGTGGCGGAGGCGGGGGCGGGTGCGGAGGTGTGGTCAGTTCCAGCCACAGCCAGCAGAGCTGCGACAGCGATTCCCTACAATCAACGAGCAGTGGCAAGCCACCGGTGGCCATTAATGGAGCCATGCCAGGACGGTCGCCGCTGGACTTCAACTTGGCCAAGCTGGTTAACAACGCCTACGGCAGGGAGTTCGAGCCGGAACTGCGCTCCCAGTGGGATGAGAGTGAGTTCGGAGGAGGTAAGGGTCAGGAGGACAGCCAGGACATCACCATCAGTCCCCAGCGAGCTGTGGACATTAAAATCAAGCTCGTCAACGAGGCCAAGGCCATGAATGTGAGGGGCATCGCCGGGGGCAGCCATCTGGATGATGCCTCCGTGCAATACGATGTGCGGAAGCTGCTGCAGATCTGCATGAAAACCTCAGAGAACCAACCGCGTGTCTTGGACATTCTTCGCTGCATGGACCTCAAGGCCATCTACCAGAGAAGCGGCCAGGGTGTGGATCAGGAGGACGACGAGTACGACATGGGCAACCAACAGGTGCCCAGTGCGGTGACCACCTTCAAGCACGTCAACCGCCGGACCCTTAAGTCATCGCAGCACCAGCGGTGCATGGGCCACGCTCTCCTGGTGGCCAGCAGTGTGGACGGCTTCCTGTACCAGTTCTCCGCCCAAGGCAAGTGGTACAGTGAGAACGAAAAGCCGGTGGCCAGCTACAGTTTCACGGCACCGGTGATCCAGGTGCATATCAACGACTACGTGGTGTTTGCGGTGACCTCCGAGTCCGTGGAAACGCACACGTCGCGCATCGGGCACAAGCTCTTTCACAACCGCTTCGAGTACCCCTCGATTGGCGGTCTGTTCCCCGAGGAATCCGCCCCGGATGTCAATTCGCCCATTGCCGTCGTTGGTCTGGCCGCGTTCATGCACGTTCAGTTTGTGTGCGTGAACCGGGAGCAGCTGGTGCTCATCACGAACGCAGCTCTGGAGCAGCACAAGCGGCGCAGCATGGGCGAGGTGACCGGCGGTCAAGTGGTGGCCGTCAAGCGGAACATCGCCGCTCGTCTGCTGGCCGAGGCGAAGGCCAAACACAGCAGCCTGCTGAGGAGCAGCAGTGCAGCCCAATCCTCGACGGTGGCCAACGAGTGGACGCTGTACAATTTGGAGATTCCGCGCGTGGAGTGCGTCATCGAGGATCTCGAGGGCATTGCGGAGTCGTATCGCAGTGCCAGCAGCTGCAACTTCTACGATCTCATGGAGGAGGCCCATGTCATGCTGCGCCTGAGTCTCACGCTGCAGGGCGAGCGTTTGGGGGCGGAGCGGGAGCTGCAGCTCCGGCAAATGTTCGCTGCGAACTGCAGAAAGCTTGCTGATTTCTCAATACGGTACGGAAAAGAATTATTTAAACTTCTACCAGTAACGGCTATTATTTCCAAAAGTTTTAAAGAATGTATGAATACGCAACAACAAGCTGGATCTTAGGAACCTTAAAAATTATTTGTTTCTTACTGTAGTTGCAATCAAAGATCGGATTTGAATGCCAAAAGTAATAGCTTGGGCAATTTATCCTCATTTCGTAGCCTTTTCAGTAGATTGTTATAAAAATGTTAAATATCGGAAAGATGTATTCATTAGTTACATATCTAATCATCTGTTTTTCGCTTTCTTTACTCAGTTTAAAAGCTGTTTTTGTAAAAAGTATTTGTTAGTTGCATATCAAATCTTCTGTTTTTCGCTTTCTTTACTCAGTTTAAAAGCTATTGCAAGTGACTATGATAAATGGTCGCCAACCACAAAATTGCAAAACATTGTTCTTACTTACGTGTTCATTGTTGCTTCAAGAGATCTGTTTTTAAGAACTCTTTAATTTGTATTCATTCTATGCATATGTAATGATACTAAATTGTTATAAATCTTGCCTTTCTTTCAGTTCCAACAAACAGGAGGTTTATCTGCAGGCCACAGGATTCTACAGAATGTGCCAGCTTCATCTGGTGGACATCTTCAATAACTACATAGAGAACTTCATGGACAGCGATGAGGGCATGGAGACCACTGAGCTTGCGGGACTGATCTACACGGTAAAACTGTTCCTACTCAGTTTGGGAACAGATCGCTTGAAGTCGGCATTCCTGAACCAGACGGTTCGTCCGTACTTCACGCCCGCTCGGGTGATCCAGCAGGGCTACAAGCAGGTTCCGCTCTCGCTGGAGTTCCTCAACATGTTCATCAAACATGCTCCGGCAGAGATTCCGAAGATAATGCTGATCTCACCCGTGGTGGCGGACTCTATGAGTGGAGAGCTGATCAACTACCTCAAGTACTTGAACAAGCTGTAAGTGGATGCTCGATTTCTGTGTGAAGACGACATAAGTCAATTGTTTTGATCTTCCATTTCTAGTTCCCCCGAAGAAAACCTGCTGCTGGCTGTGACGGCCTGCCGCATGTCCAACTATCTACTGGCTCAGGAGATAATTGCAAAGTCCAGCAGACGCAACCTGGCCACCGCCCTGATTCGGCACAAGAACGTTCTGTTCGATGACAGCACTGTGATCTACCAGCGGCGCCATCAGCAGCAAGCCGACTGTCAATCCCAATCCCAATCCCATTCGCGGGGTAAGAAAACCCGACGGGTAGGTGGAAGGAGCAAACCCGCTGCGGTGAGTACGCCAACGCCGAGCACCATCGTCTCGTTCTCGGACTTTTGCGAGACGATTCTGTTGGCCAACGAGCAGCCAGCACTAATCGAAGCGATCAGCGATGCCCTCATCCATGCACTGTGCATCGAACATAGCCTGACGCTGGACGTGATTCTGCAGCTGTTCCTCAACTACATCGCCTCGCACATTGGCCAAAAGGGCTATCAGACGTCGCAGAAGGTGTTCGTCAACATTCTGCAGGTGTACTTCTACGACATCTACGACGTCAGCTCATCGCTGCAGCCCCACGAGGTGCGTTCGCATACGCCGCCGCAACTGGACGACGACTACGACGAGGAGTGCAGCAGTTCGCGGGCTCCCTCGCTGCACAGCGAAGCGGACGCCCAGTCGCTGTCCAGCTCTTGTGCCAGCTCGGCGCACGAGGATCGCTCCGCTAGCCTCTCGATCAGTGGACGGCAGCAGCGAATCGTCTACGATCAGCTGCAGGAGCAGCAGTCGTCGCCTTTTCAGAAGCGCAACTCAAATGCCTCGCTGTCGCAGCCACAGCCGGATGACGATGTGGCCGCCACCAATCTCAAGGGTCTCAAGATCCTCTTTCGCATGTACATGGGCCGGTTGAAGGCCCTCAGTGATCTCATCACAGACCTGCAGTCAGCGGATGTGGAGCAGCAGGCTGGTCGCGAGGAGTTTATGAACCTGCGCATGGAGTGCATCTCGTACATGGTGGGCATGGCTCCCAATTACTGTCCCAAACCGATTGTAAAGAATCCCAATGATCCGCTGGCCAGCAAGCTCGTATACGTGCCCTTCATTCCGGACTATAAGCTGCCCGAGGGCGAGGAGTTTGAGCGCCACATCAAGAGCTACATTCGTCCAATACCCTGTTTGCTGGAACGACCGCAGTACTTAAACCGCCTGCCGCCCTTCGAACGGAGCGACTTCAGCTACCCGAACAAGGACGAGGGCGAGTTCGAGGTGCGCTTCCTCAGCTGGCATAACGAGCTGCTGACCCTCACCCTCAAGATTCAGAGTCTGCTGGCCTCCAGCAAGGTGGATCGCGAGATCATCTCCGAGTTTCTGGCCTTCATACAAAAGACGCCGCATTTGATGGGCATCGACAGTTTCCTGGTAATCGTCTTGCCCAAGAACTTGGCAATAAACTACCTGCTTAGTTTTTGTCCCGCTTTTCTCTGGCAGTACGGAAAGGTAAGTGATGGATTTTATAGAACTTAAACTTTTAGCCTATTTAAATTGGGAAAATATCATAGTAATTTCAAAAGAACAATATTAAAATTGGGAATTATTAGGAGAACAAGAGGGGAAGCACTTTAAAAACTAATATATTTGTATTCACTTTTTCGAACATTTCCTATTTAAATAAGTATTTATAGAACAATAACAAAGTAAGCCGACATTAGTATATTTCACCTATGACTGCTCTAGGATACAGTCGTACGATTTCTATAATATTTAAACATTATTTCTGAAGTCATAAGGAACTTATTGCACGTAGTTCTGTGCTTATATTAAAATGGTTAATAACATCGATGCCATGACGATTTTCGTATTGTTCGTTCCTAATAATAATTAATTGATTTCAAATGAAAACTCCTATCCAAAAAATTTTAAAATGACGTGTGGCAATTCAATCTAATTTTTCTTAAAAATACTTTATTAAAATTGGTAACTCGAAAACTTGTGAAACAATTTTGTTTAAAATGCTGTATACATACTTAGGATGGTACAATATGTATAATAATAGAGCAAAGGAATTTATTTTCTTCATATTATCTAGGCTTAGATTTAAAATCGATGTAATATAAAATGCTATCCAAACGTGAATCTACGATACTTTGGCATATAAAGTATACTGTTCTTATGTTGAAAAATGGATTTTTTGTTTCTGTGAAACCTACGCATCTCTTAACGAGGTTAAAAAGTGGTGAGCTTCGAACGCTTAAATTTAATACTGAACATTTTCTCAGTGGTTATGCATTGCCAAAACTGTTTTTGCTATAAAAAGGTAAACGATTAAATAGCACAGGAAACTATAATGATGTAGATAATATTACATAGCTTGTACAAATATTTGTTGATCCTTTTCTTAAAGGAATATAAGGGATTACACAAATATAGTAAAATTTTTACCTATGAGTACATTTTTTAATGCTTTCTATTTCATTTACCATGCAGTCCTGCGGTTTCACGCCCAAACACTGGGAGAGCCTGTTACGGAAGATTCTCAGCAAGCAGGAGGCGCTGCCCAACTGGAAGACACACATTTCGGGTTTGTAGCTAAAGTTATCACAAAGACCAATTAATATATGTAGTTTTTAAATTGCAGAGATACTCAACAATTTGGTGACTGAGCTGAGCTTCGAAGAACTTCTGCAGTGCTTTCCCAGCGAGGTCATTCAAAACCGGAACACGGCACAGTACTTTGCCAAGGAGTTTGCCGAGACAAGTGTCCTTTATGAGCACGAGGAGCTCGTCTTCAAGACTCCCGATCGGAGCGAGGGGCACAGGGAACACATGCCGATGGACAACATCGATGAGGACAATGTGTTCGAGTTAACGCTGCGCAAGGCGGTGGCCAAGCAGCGGAGCATTGCGCTGAGGTCCATGATCGAGTCCACGGGAACCCAACTGTTCGACGCTACCAGTAATCCCATGTACAACCTGTAGACGGTCTTAACTCCACTTTAAACTGGTTACAAACGAAATTATCAAATTGAAAATCGATAAGATTGATTGATATTAACGTAGCAAAGTAGCGAGCACGGAAGGCAGCTTTGCTTGTACTCCATAAATAGTTCGATATGTAATTTGTAGTCTTAGGGCATCCCCATAACGAGGCATTATTTATTGACATTTCTGTTTGACACCAAACGCAACATTCGGATACTGATTTCTGGGCTGTAGGTTGTAAAAGTAACTAGCTCGTCGCGAATTTGTGCGTTATTTGCCATAGGAAATCAGATGTGTGATCGGGAGTGATTAGGAAACCCCCCCTCTCTACCTGTATTTGTATTCGTACGCAACGTTAATCCAAGTTTCCTTTGAACTAAGCTTTAGAACCCTTAAAGTATTCGTACTCTATACATTAGTTTCTTAGTCACTTTACTCACCCATACACCATAGCATACACCCAAACACACTGTCTTACACAAAAAAAAAAACAAACAATCTCAAGTGATATTTTTAATTCTTGCATTGAATCTGAACAATAAAAGCATAATTACATGACAATGGCCAGCTGTCTCGAGGCGTTCATCTCGGTTAGTTAATCTGGCAATTAAATCCGGGCTTCTGTAATCGTGCTAAGGTAATTGAACGTGTGAAAACTGCTCGCGGACGGCGGGCCTCTCCGCTGTGAATAGCTCAGCCAATTAAGGGCAACCAGCGTCGGTCGTGCGGTTTTCCAAGCCGGACTCAGTCACTTGGCGACGTTTGGCGCAATCGGCAGCAGCAGCAACATGCCCAAACTGCAGCCCACACTGGAGGTGGTTCCGGAGAAGCCAGAGACCGGATTGGAGGCCGCGGAATCCGAGAAGGCGACGGAGGAGAGTCAACTGGACGCGATCATCATTGGGATCGGCCAGTTCGGTCGCTTCCAGATCTTCAACTATCTGCTGCTCTGCCTGCCCATCATCTGCAACGCTTTCTACTCCATTTCCTTCGTCTTCACAGCCGGAGAAGTGCTGCACAGGTGGGTCAGTCATTGGGTTGTCATTGCCATTGCCATTTTTAGCTCTAGAAGTCTTTCACAGATGCCACATCCCCCAGTGCGACAATTTGGCTACCAGCTATGAGGCTCCCTTCCTGAACTTCACCACTCCGCAGCGCCACGGGAGCTGGGATCAGTGCGAGCACTACGCCGTGAGATCGGATCCATCGGATGAAGCTTCTTGCAATGCCAGCAGTTTCGATGCGGATCGACGAGTTGGCTGCGATGCGGGTTTCAAGCTGAGCAACGACGACAATACGATTGCCAGTGAGGTAGGTCCGTTGGTGTTTCCGAGATCGGGGCATTGATCTGACTTTGGTGCCCTCTTCCTATCAACAGTTCGCCATCTTCTGCGCTGACCAGTGGAAGCTATCGATGGTCGGTACAGTCAACAATATAGGACAGTTTGTGGGCATACCCCTAGGGGGTTATCTAGCCGATCGGTATGTTAAACACGAAAATACAAGTACTTTTATATAAGAATTAGTCAAATATTTGCCACTTATCAGTGCAATGACATTTTTAAGTGCAAGCATACTTGTTTAACTTTCGCATCGTATTGCCAACAAAAATTTGAATTTGTTATTCACAACAAGTTCGGAATCCAACCAAACTGGTGTTGAGTGCAAAAGGGCGAAATTAAGTCGAACGGGATCGATTATTACAAGCACGCACCAACTATTTCGTCGACATATTTTTGGCGATTGGTATATACCCTTTACTTGTTCAAATGATATATAAATATACTTCCTGTCCCTATTTCCGTGTGAGTCTCGAGATCACGAAGACAATACCACTTAGAGAATCTGGATATCGGGAAATCCCTTTTTATACCCTTGCAGAGGGTATTATAATTGCAGTCTGAAGTTTACAAGATAGAGACATTTCCGACCCTATAAATTGTATATGTATATTCTTGATCATCGTCACTAGGAAAGTCGAACGTTTCTACTCAAACTAGTCTCAGTTTTAAAGCTATCTGCAAGAAACGTTTCCAAAAAATGACTTTCTATGATCGTAACAAGCTATAGGAACCACTGAAAAAAATAGAATATAAATTATATCTTTGCTGTTTTTTTGTTAGTTCTTCGATGGCTTATTATTTAAGAATTGAATTTTAGTTTTGAATTTGATAAAAATTGGACAACTTTATCATATAGCTACCATAGAAACATCCGGAATATAAAAAAATAAATGAAAAAAATTTTAACTTCTAACAATAAATTTTTTTATTTTTAAAATTATTTTAGAATTACACTTTCATTTGTGTTTTAATCAGAAAACGATACAACTGTCATAGGAACGATCGAGTAATTGAGCTAAAAATATAATAAAAATTTAGATGTAAGAATTCATTTCATTTCTTTATTTCTTGTTCTTTTTTTTTTTTTTTTTTTTTTAATTAACCAATTTCTATAATTGGTCAAATCTGTGTTGATTGGTTGAGTGGTATCACAGAATCGGGAATTTCATTTGTTTGGAAAATGTACCCGGTTTTCAGATATGGGCGTCATTGAATGTTTGAAATTCCAAAAGCTTTTTGTATTTATAAACACGGAAAGAAAAACTGTTTTCAAGGTTTTAAAATAGCGTTCTTGAACTTTATCAAAGCTTAAATTGGCATTTTTGACACGACTCGGAGTAGATTTTATTCTTTATAAAAAATATTCGTTAAAGATATAACACTGAGAAGCAAAAGTGTTCTAACAGGTTGTTCAGGGCTTCATTGGCACATAAACTTTCAAACCTGTTTTTCTCGAAACCATGTTTTTTTTTTAACTGGCGACCACGATTTAGCAAAAACGACTTGACCGATTTCGTTTATGGGCATATTGAATGACAAGGTCAAGCCGTTTTTTCCAGATTTAAGAAAATCGTTTTTTTTATTTAAAAACCTTTTTCAAATAATCAATTTTTTAAAATTTGTTTAAATGTTAAGGTTCCGAGCCAAAAATTACCATGCTTTTTAATTTTTTTTTGTCCAGCCAATCAGTCTGAATCGTGGTCGCTGATGGACCACTTTGTAGCTTCAAAAGTCCCATAGAATAAAGTATTTTAAAAAAAAATGTTTTGTTTTTGTAGTTAAGATGTTACTTAATATATATAAAAATAGGCTTGAAGTTTATTTTTTTAATTTCCCTGGTTCTACAAAAAAAAAAAAATTCAAAAAAAGCTTAAAAACCGGGCCGTTACATGAGGTGACACCCTAATCTTCCGATTTTTCCCTGACAATTGCATAGCAAAGTTTTCTTTAAATAAAACAATTATACGAGATTATAAAATTTGCAACAGTGAGTTGGGGTAACGACTAAATCCTTTGCTTTGGTTTAATCTCTGCCTTTGCATTACTAATCAACTCTAGTTTTTCTATAGATATGGACGGAAGTTGATACTGGTGGCCGCCGGGGTGCTTAGTTCCTTTGCCGGACTCGCTCGCTCCACCGCGCCGGAGTACTACAGTTTCCTGAGCCTAGAGTTCCTGGACATGGCCGTGGGCAGCACCCTCTTCCCCACCGCCTTCCTGCTGGCCGTGGAGCTGGTGGGTCCGCAGCACCGCGTGGTGGCCGCCACCATGATTAGTCTGACTTATGGTCTGGCGGAGGCCTTGATGGGCTACCTGGCCGACTTCCTGCGCGACTGGCGCGTTCTGCTGCGCGTGCTCTACGCTCCCGCCCTGCTGCACCTGACCTTCGTCTGTCTGCTGCCGGAAAGCGTGCGCTGGCTGCTCAGCCAGTCGAAGGAGGTGGAAGCCAAGGCCACGCTGCGTAGGGTGGCCAGGGTGAACGGCAAGGAGCTGCCGGAGCAGCAGCTGGACGAGCTGATCCGCTCGAACCGCCGTCTGGTGGAGCAGTCCTCCGCCTCCGGCGGCCACTACAGTGTCCGACAGATCTTCCAGGCCTTGGGTGGCCGCACCGCTCTCTGCTGCTTCGTGTGGTTCACCCACACCCTCATCGCCCTGGGCCTGAGCCTGAACTCCACCCAGCTGAGTGGCAGCAAGTTCGAGAACTTCAGCATGACGGGGTTCATGCAGCTGCCGGGTATCCTGATGGCCACCACTCTCATGAACTGGATAGGACGGCGCTGGGCGCTCAGCTCCTGCCAATTTACTTGTGCCGCCCTGCTCCTGGCAGTGGCCGCCACGGATGAAGGTGAGCTTGACTGGGACAGATGGTTTAAAATGAAAAAAACTAACGAGAACTCCCGCCGCAGTGTGTCCTTTCGCCTCCTCGATACTTTACTTCCTGGCCAAAATGGTGTCCACGGGCAGCTTCATGATCCTGTACTTCTTCACCTCAGAGATCTTTCCCACGAACTGCCGGAACAGCATGCTCTCCTTCTGCTCCAGCGTGGGTCGCTTTGGCTCCATGCTGGCCCCCCAAACCACTCTTCTTGTGAGTAACTTGTCCATAAGTTCCCAAGGTATCACACCACTAAACTCCATCTTGCTTGTAGATCGTACACTACCAGTATGCCCCCCATTTGCTCTTTGCCCTATTCGGATTCACCTGCTCGGGACTAGCTTTGTTCTTTCCGGAGACCACCAACAAGGTGCTGCCCACCACGCTGGCTGAAGCACGAGCTCTGGACAGGAGTATACCCAAGGTAAAAGTCCCGAAAAGTGTCGCCTAACCGAGAACGTGGCACTATCGCGTCGACAGTATCGGTGATCAGCGTAACTGGAGCGTGCGAGTTTCGATGACCAACAAATTTGCAAGTAAAGATTGAGCAATAAACAATTTAGAAATTTGGCAAGGCTGCTGACACCTTAATGGTGCTCTAAGTTGGTTTGATATATGAAGTTGTACAACAAGCTACAAAATCTTTTGAAAATTGAGCATGTTCGATGAACAGCAAAGCTGATTTCTTGTTGTTTAACCTATAGAATTTAAGGTAATAAAAGAGCTTAAGCCCTTTTAAATAACCAAACAAAATGAAGAAATTTCAATAATAATATTACGTACGAGTCCAAACTAGTCTAAAACCGTTCATTTCAGTTCGACTTATGTTGCGTTTTTCTTTTCTCAGTTGATCATTGTAAATAAGAAAAAGAATAGAAAAATAATGAACATGTAAAACATGAAAAAAACTAAATTTTTCTCTCTTATATGTATGCAGTTTTTGAAAAATGAACATATTTTAAAATATTTAATTTAGGACCACTAACAATGAGATATACATACGGTAAAAATATTTTAAAATCCCAACATAAAAATGAGAGCTGCATTCATTTCCAGTACATTTTCAAAAATGTTTAACACAAAAAATATCTTTTATTTTTAAGAAAATTTGAAGTTTAAAAAATAAATTGAAGAAAAACCATATTATTGAGCCAAAGGAATTTTTACACGAAAGGAATAAAACTTCTAAAAGCCGAATCTTGTGTTGTTACATTCTATTGAATGACTATACTTAGATTTTTATGTTTATTTGTTTTACGACAATGCTGCTACATAAGTCGATTTTTAAATCAATTTTTCGATCGTTCCCATGGAAGCTACCATACCATAGTATTGTTTTCCGGTTTTACAATTTACAATTAAAACCGTAAGCCTGAAATAGTAAACCATGACTATAACTCGAAGTTGCTGATCAATTTACAAAACTATAAACATTATAGAATCAAAAATGTCTCTACACTGCGTTGCTTTTGACTAAATTCATTATACAAGGTGGGCCAATAGAAATCATACAATGTTGTTTGGCTCTCATTTTTCTCATTTTTCTCATTTAATAAAAAAACTGTGATTCAGTTTTTTGATTATGTCTATTTGAATCTTAAGAATTTTATTGGCCAAGTCGAGAAGATGATATCGGCCAAATGGGCGCCTTACCATATATCACAATCAAGACATATCATATTCCATTCATACGACGAATATTGTAAAAATAACTTAATTTATTATACGATATTTTACTGTATGTGGGTGCAGTTTTACTTATAATATTATACGTTAATCTTACGTTGAGTTTCAATTAGTAAATTCTGCGATTCATAAGCGAATTGATAGAAGTGGCTTAACAAAATAAATATTGGTTCAGTTCGAGTACTTATCTAATTCCGATTGCAGTCGGGTCTTATCAGCTGTATGGCCAGCATTGCCGCGGAGTATTACCGATTTATGGCTGGCTTTCAGTGGGGCCAGTGCCTTACATATATCTATCAGCGATTTCAATTACAGCGCGCCAACAATTTATTGTGGCCTCATCGCACTTATCATTGATTTATCAATCTGCTCGTCAGCCCAGCCGATCGAATAGTCAGTCAGGCACTGGACTTGTGTGCACTGTGCTCCCACTTAATCATCTAAGGAGCTGTTCGGGTAGAGTGTTATGTGGGCATATTAGTGCCCCAGTCCTGGAAGGACTTGGTCCTGGCTGCCTCGGATGAACTCGCCGGCTTGGATGTGGTTCTTGGTAGCTTCTTCCCTTTCCAACATAACAAGAACAATTTTAAACGTGCCTGCTAAAAGTCAATTGCTTTCTACCAAGTCATGCTTAAACTTGGATTACATTATATGTTTATTTGTTAGAAAAGTTTACCCGTGCTTATAATACGGATTGCAGAAATAAAAATAACTATTTATATATCAAATTTGGAGTAAATACTTTTTACATAATTTTAATTGCAAATACATGAAAGTATGTATGTTAAAGTTTAATAATAAAAAGCTATTACATGGCAACGAATACAGTGGAGAAATAAATGTAAAAGCTTATATGGATTTATCTCTTTCTTTTTTTAATATAAAAAAAAAAATACTACTACAGTATGTAGAATATTAATATTTTGATTAACTCTGCTGCACGTATAAATAGACATATAAATAAATATAAATATAATAAAACTTGTGTTGTGATAAACTTACCAATTTCTATCCGGCGATGAGATCTCTACGGTCTGGATCCTGGGCATCATAGGATTATGGATTGCAAATATATATGCGTGCAAGAAAGAGGCGGCTGTTCTACTTCGCAATCAAACATAAAACAACAAAAGTATAAAAATAACTGAATCATATTTATATATGTAGGCCGTCTCGAAACGCGACTTTGTTTCTCAAATTACTTTGCTACTGCACTCGGGCTTTTCATGTACTTTTGGTTATTTTATTTATTTGAATTTATATTACATTTGTATATTTACTCATTCATTATTGTTGGTTTATTGTTATATATAACTTCTGATAGTGGATTTGGCGAATTTTGTTTATCGTATTGTTATTGTTTCGGTATCTCCAGGATAAATACGTAGAATCACTTGTTCACAATTTGTTCACTGTGGATTTAGGATACCAGGATATTATTGTAAGGAACTTCCAGGCTATGTGAGTATCCTCGTCAACGGAAAAGACTTCAAGCTTCCAGAATCAGGTTGTTAAAGGAATAACACTTTTATTAGAATTTAAGTAGTTGTACTTTCACTGGCCAGCGCTGTGCCACGTGTTTTTATGATCGCGGGCGACCGGCCGAGCTGTCCCTGTTCTTCTAGCTTAGCAGCCCATTATATAGAGGTGTAGGGCTAGAAATGGTGAAAGGTGAATTCCAGTATTCCTATTCAAATGCCGTTTCATTCATAAACTGTTCCCATAATTGCACTCAGATCAAATTCAAGGACTAAACTACTTTTACCTTCAACTCGGGTGCAAAGTCAAGCATTCCGTTGTCGTACAATAACCTATGGTGTCCGTTATCACATTGCAGAGCAATGAACCCGGTTGATTTGGAAATTATTTAAATTCAGTTCATGAAAAAAATGTTGGACCCAGACTTATTGTGAAACACAAAACTATAAAGTTTGGATGCACCTATTGGTTGCTTGAGTCATTGGGTAGTGTAGATGTTGTAAGACTCCACTTTAGGGTGGACAAAAGTTTGAACTTTTTGTTTGATGTTTTAATGGCTTGCGAAATTCTTGCACTAGACTTAAGGATCATATTGGTTTATCAGGCTAACAGGCTTGAAGATATCGATGCGTTAAGCATACGTACGACTTCCCATTACCGCTTCCATTGTTTTTCATGGTGTCTGCTTATAAGGCGCCAATAAATGTGTGGCTTCGACTCATGCCCTGTATTTAAGAGTCTCATGTTCTCTCGACTTAGCTTGCCGAGCTGTCACCAATAAAAAAACCTTTTCCTAGTTGATGCTAATATAATTTTGGCTGGGGCCGCTTCCTTCTCCTAAGTCCATCCGCTGAAATTCTTTGACCATTTCTCGATTTCATTTATTTGCCGGGTTTTTGTGCGTTTTCTATTAAGGCATCGCTCAACTCCGGGTTGCCTCCCTTTAGACTCCACCATTGTTTTAGCAGGAAAAGTTGAGAGAAAAGCACCCATCTAAGAATTAAGGGTTTCTTTTAAAGTGCTTACTAAATCTTCTTCTGGTATCTTTTGTATGATCGTCAAAAGGCTTATTGAAACCTTGGCGACGCTCCATTAGCTCCATTAGCTCCATTATCGGACGAAAATGTTCTGGTCATCTCGCAGGTCAGAGCGTAGAAGTCAAACTCATATTTGACTTCCATTAAGTGCCAGTACCTTTTGGCTGCTGCTCCTTTTAGAAGACACTGGAATTCGCGTAAAACTTGATGCCTTATTATTAAACAGGAAACTTTCCACAGTCATTCCTCGAGAGGTCCAATCAAACTTGATGTTTCATTTATCTAGGCGCACACCTTTGTGTCTCCGATGACCTGTTTAACTTCGCCCTTCTTGAAGGATATTTTGTCCAGAGGATCCTTTAAATTTACAAACCGTGGTATCAGAAATAATAGCACCACCGAAAAAGGTAAAACCAATAGCTTCAAACCGGTAAAGAAAATTCCGAAAGCCGGACTGAAAATATGTACAGCTACGAAGATATGGAGGGAGCTGTGGGAGATTAACATATTATTTTATGCATAGACCATGGGCTCAGCCTAAATCCAAGGTTATGCCTGAAAGGATGATGAGTGCATTGATCTCGCAAAGTAATGAACTTAGGTTAGCCATGCAGGAAATAAAAACCCAGATAGTTGAACTGCAAAACCAGGTGCCTGACCATCGGACGCTTTAACCTTGCCCGCGTAACAAGAGTAAATCAAGTGTAAAGGCAAACAGGAGCCGGACACATGGGCCAAAGGTAGTGACATCGGGCAAACAGCGTAAGATAGTGACCACTTGTTGACCCACTAGCAATCAGCTAACAGGCGGGAACAGCTGTTGGCCACCTCTACCTCTACCTCTACCTCCACCTCCACCACCGTCACCCAGCAGACACCATGTCTCGCCGTCTGAAAGATAAACAGCAGCAGCGAACCAGTTGCCATATCGATTGATATTAACGCTATGGTGTTAGACCCTTGGATTGGGACTAGAGCCCATGGTCGATGTACTCCCTTCGCTGGGAAGTGCAAATAGTGTTGGATTGGGATTGGGCCTGATAAGACTTAGATCCCGATAGGAAGGGAAGACAGCGCCGCATGGAGAAGAGCAGACGGCGGTCAGATTAAAAATAGAAACGCACGAGAGACGCGTAATCGGAAAGAGACATGCGAGCGTCGAATCAAAACACAGCGAAACGAGCTTAACCAGATGGTGAGCTATGGCTGAATCAGTCAATGAGTGCCACTGCTCCCAGCGAGACGCTCCAGAGCGTCTAAATTCGAGTGTTTGGCTAACACTTGTCGAGGCGGAAAGATCGCGAGCGGGCCGCGCGAGTTATAAAACACCGATTTAAAGTGCATTCTCCCACGTGTCTGGCGGCACTTCAGATAAAAAAAAAACATCACAATGACCAGCCAGAAGGAGGGCAACGGCAGCTCCGTGAGCAATGGCAAAACCAATGGACACTCAGATGGAGATGAGGACAACTCGCTGGACGCCATTCTGGTGCGGATCGGGCAGTTCGGCCGCTATCAGATCATAAACTACGTGCTGCTGTGCGTGCCCATGCTCTTCAACGCCTTCTTCTCCATCTCCTATGTGTTCTCGGCGAGCACAGTGGTGCACAGGTAGGCCAAAAATGTCCGTGAATCCGGTCGAGTGAGTGGTTAAGACTCCCCTTCTCCCAATCTGTCCCTAGGTGTAACGTGCCGCAGTGCGACAGTGGCAGCAGTGGTTACGTGGAGAGCTGGCTGAACTTCACCATCCCCTACAAGAACTCCTGGGATGCCTGTCACCGATTCGCTGTCAACGAGACTGAGATCTCGGGAGCTGCCCCCTCCGGAGACTTCTGCGCCGAGGAGTACTTTAGCAACAGAACGGAGAGCTGCGGACACGACTTCAAGTTCAGAGACGAGGAGAAGACTATATCAACGGAGGTGGGTAATCGCAGAGGCAGATAGTACTGATAAGAACGTCTCAGGAAGTGCCTACTTTGATACCATTTCACTCGGTTTTATTTCAAAAGTAATAGGCACTAAACCTAAGCCGAAAAGGTTTTAGGTGGCATGTATAAATGTTTATGGCAATAGTCATTAGTTAATAGCTAATTTCATCCACTATAATAACTTTATACGAATTCTTACACGTACTGTAAGTATGTAAGTATGGGCAAATGTCGATTTGGAAAAACAAAGCGTAGGCTATCTAGATTCAGTTTAATTGCATGTAGTCATGATCATTAATTTTGCAAAATTTATAGAAAACGATAACTATTTTACTTATTCTTTATTTACACTCATAAAAAAATGGAAAAGTAAAAATTACTATCTGACTATTGAATTTAAATTTGTATATTAAACAATACAATTAATTATAAACCATAATTTTAAATACAATCGTTTAAATTAAATTAATCAATATTAAAACTTTCATTAATGTGGAAAATATTAGTGTCCATATGATATAAATGCATTTTATTTGAGTTAAATATGGTTTAAATTTAAATTACACTCCGATATTTAAATCAAAACCCGAAAACAGTCAAATGAAAAATGAAAATATTTAAATTCAATACACAATATTTGGATTTACCACATTTTTTCCCGTGTACCAATGCAATAAAAAGTATTTATTAATAACTTCCTTACCCCTTTAGTTTGGTAAATATAAAATAATGAAATGCAATATGAAATCATAATATTAAATACAATGCATATTAAAAATTTAAGTTAATGTGGAAAATATTAGATTTAAAATATTTCCCATTTATATAAATGCATTTTATTTGGTTTTAATTTAAATTACATTTTCAGATATTTAAATAAAAACCGAAAAGAGTCAAATGAAAAATGAAAAGGGAAAATATTTCAATTTAAAACACAATATTTGGATTTACTACTTTTTTTTCCGTGTACCAATGCAATAAAAAGTATTTATTAATAATTTCACTACCCTTTTAGTTCGGCATATATTGTGAGGACGAATGGAAGCTATCGATGGTGGGAACAGTCAACAATATAGGACAGTTCGTGGGCATACCCCTTGGAGGATACTTTGCGGATCGGTAAGTTGTCTTTCAGTTGGCCAGAGATTTTCCAATCCGAGAGCCTCATTTGTCCATTTGTCACAGGTTCGGACGACGCACCATGCTGGCCGTGGCCGGATCCTTGAGCGCGCTGATGGGCGTGATCCGCTCGCTGTCGAGCAATTACCCCATGTTTCTGGCGTTCGAGTTCCTGGACATGGCCGTGGGCAGCACCCTCTTCCCCACCGCCTTCCTGCTGGCCATCGAGCTGGTGGGTCCCAAGCGGCGCGTGGCGGCGGCCACGATCATTACGATCTTCTATGCGCTGGGCGAGGCCTTCCTGGGATTCCTGGCCTCCCAGGTGCAGCACTGGCGCTGGCTGCTCCGTGTCCTCTACGCCCCGGCCATTCTGCAGATCCTGTTCCTTTGGATCCTGCCGGAGAGCGTGCGCTGGCTGCTCAGCCAGGGAGCCGAGGAGCGGGCCGCCGCCGTGCTGCGCCGGGCGGCACGGATCAACAAGCGCACGCTACCAGAGGAGCAGGTGGAGGAGCTGCTGGCCACCAACCGGCAGAAGCTGAGCCAGGCCAACGAGAGCCAGTACCCAATTATGCGCGCCGTGCGTTTCTTCTCGCTGCGGATCGCCAACTGCTGCCTCTGCTGGTTCACCCACACGCTCATCGCCCTGGGACTCAGCCTGAACTCGGTCAACCTGGGCGGCAGCAAGTACACCAACTTCATGCTGAACGGCTTCATCCAGATCCCGGGCCTGCTGCTGCCCCTGGTCATCATGGACCGCGTGGGCAGGCGCTACTCCCTGTGCGCCTCGATGCTGCTCTGTGCCATCTGCATGGGCGCCTCCGCGGGAGTGGCAGCTGGTACTGGGTCTCCATCTCATTACATTATGCAAAAAGTAAACTGATTACGTTTTCCCACAGACAACTACGCGGGTTCCCTCACACTGTTCCTCATCGGCAAGCTGGCCATCACCTGCAGCTTCCAGATCCTGTACTTCTTCACGTCGGAGATCTTTCCCACCAACGTGCGGAACAGCCTGCTGTCCCTCTGCTCCATGGTGGGACGCATCGGCTCCATGTTGGCCCCCCAAACTCCGCTGCTGGTGAGGAAGGCGTAACATCCTCTATGGCTAGTTACCTAATCCCTGCCACTTCTCTTCCAGGCCAAGTACTACATCTACGCCCCGCAGATACTGTTCGCCACCTTCGCTCTGATCAGCGGCTTCCTGACCTTGGCTTTCCCCGAGACGGCGGACAAGGTGCTGCCCACGACCATGGAGGAGGCACGCGACTTGAACCTGGCCAAGCGACGGGGTCAGGGGGTCGCGGAGGAGGAGCTGGGGGAGGGACCCAATGGCTCCCAATAATGATCTGCAACTGGGAACTGAAAAGAGGCTAAACGCAGCCAGATACGTCTTAGCTTAAGTGAGAGCCAATGCATTTGTTGATTTTTTAATGTGTTTTTTAGTTAGTTAAGGTTTGTCCGTACGAAACCGATTTGGTCGCACAACTCGTCAATTTTTATTTGTTGCCTTTTTAGCTCCTTTTAATATTGTATAAGTTAGAAAATGTCTGTAAATGTCATTATTTATTTTTTATGTTAGCATATTGGTGATCAAATCGGTCCGCTAATGGCAGGGAAAAAATCAAGCTTTGCCATGAAATAATTTTAAAATGTTTCTTTTCATTGGGGATATGGTTGAATAAGACGGGTACACAGGTGATCCTAAGTAAAAAGCCCTCACAAGAGTTTCGAGGTATAGCTATAAATACAACAATCCGATTTATAATGAAATTTTTAATTATCTTATATTTTGAAAGCATAAAATCGCCAAAAACATAAAACTGTTTTAAAAACCCAGGAGGCTTGACACATACATATGTATATATACTTTTTTGCATTAAGTTCTACATGAATTTTGTCGCTGGCTTAGTGCAGCCACCAAACGCCAGGTGGCGTTGAGGGACGAAAATTTAATGCTGCTTACCCTATGTTTAGAAATAATATACTTAATTGTTTTTACCTTTTTTTACATTAAGTTCTACATGATATCTGTCGCTGGCTTAGTAAAGCCACACACCGCTAGGTGGCGTTGTTTCCAATTTGTTTAAACATAATCGAATTCATTTCCTCTACAATTTTTTACTCTGTAATCGAGGCATTTCCGAAATTAACTTAATATGTTTGACTGTAAGAACGTTTACAACACAAACAATTTCTTTACCAGAGATGCGTGCCGCACATGTTCGCCATTTATATATCCTAAACAATTTTTTCCTTGGTGTATCTCAAAATCAACATTTTTCGGTGTCTGTTTATCAGTTCAAAAAATGTTAAATACTTGATTTTGAATTATAAAATAAATTTTCATGTGTTGGGCAGGTTGTTACAAAAAAAGTTTGTTTTACGATCTTTTAAAAAATGAGCTTATTAAGCGGGAAATCGCTAAAAATAGCTTAACTTTCCACAGTCACTTTCCAAGTGATATATGTCTAAAAAATTTATTGTTATTTGCTAATACTTACAAAATTATATTTTAATTTTTTACTTTTTGTAAGCTAATTTAAGCTAACTTTTGGCTTATAATAAGTTTTCTGCACTAATGTTTTCGAAAGTGATTAAGCAACAAAAACTACAACTTTTCTAAGTTTAGAGCAGTTAACTCTGCCCTGGTAAGAATTTCCTCCTAAAAGTATGCACCATCAATTTGGTGAATCGGTACTATGTTTCGGTATCGGCAAGGGTTATTCCGGTTGCTGTATATTTCGGTTACGTTTCCGGTTGGCAAAAACATGTCATATCGGTTCCGGGTACGGTTACGGTAACGGTTGTTTCGGTTTTACCGGTTAAGAATAATGGCTACGAAACCGGTTGGTTACCCTGAAAAAAGTAATGCAGTTAAAGAGTTTTTAGGTGACAACACTATTTTTAGGTTGAGTATTATTATGACTTTACGAGCATTAAGTGGGCTTTTTATTTGGCTTTGACAGCTGGTTGACTTCAATCGAAGCTACTTGGCTAGTCGAGCTGTTACGATTTTCGGGAGAAATTAAAAGAAAGTCTACGAAAATTTGGGGAGTTAACTTAAGTTATGGCCCCAAGGAAGCGCATTTCGAAGATCGGCTCAGGCAAGGTACTCCTGGCGGTGCAGCGGACTGACGACCACAGCAGCCGCCATTCGGTTAGCACTGAAACGGATCAGAGTCCGGCGAAGCTTAAGAAGATCCAGGCTCCGGTCGCCGAGCAGCCATTTGTGCCCGATCCACAGGAGAAGTCCTGCGAGGCGGCGAAGAACGGTGCCATGGAGGTGGAACCAACCGACCGCGTCGTCGAACCAAGATCCGGGGAGCCACTGATAAACTCAGTGATGACCAATCAACGGGAAGAGGCCAATAAATTGGATTGCCAGCGCTTGCAAGAGCTGATGATCATGATCAACGAGAATCCCCCGCCGAGTTGGTATTTGGCCAGCCAGATGTGGGTGATGGTGGGCAATTTAGAGGAGCGCATCGAGGCCTACAATCTGTTGAAGAAGCACAATGAGGGACAGGACAAGGAGGCACTGTCGCCACCAGCTGAGATCTAAGATATCGACACTTGAATTGGCTCTTTTTCTCGATGTTTTGCTGTTCATATTACATCGCTTACATAATATTGCTCACACTCTACTGCACAATTTTATGGTTATGTTGCAATTGAAATGATATTTAGCACAACAATTTAAGGTTAACATTTTAAATATATTTGTGCTAAATTCACCGTGTTAAAAACAAAACAAGCAGAGCACCTTTTTGTTCTGTCTGTCTACTCGATTACCGGCAGAGCAGCGGCCGAACAGCGGCCGAGCAGCGGCAGAGGGCCGGCAGAACGGCGGCAGAGCGGCGGCAGAGGACTTCATAAATAATAGCTCGATTTTAAACATTTTTATGTCTACCGATAGATATGACCAAAACAAACGCTCAGAGTATTACAGCAAAGGTCTAAAAAGTATCATAGTGTCGTGACAGACGTGTTTCGCTATTTGTGGGCGTTAGAGTGGGCGTGGCTCCGTTTTTAAATAAACTTGCGCGCCCTAGGAACTATTAGAATCTGCTAGCCTCTAGCTTTTATTGTTTACGAGTTCTCGACGTACACACAGACGGATAGACAGATGGACATGGCTAGATCGACTCGGCTATTGATCCTGATCAAGAATATATGTACTTTATATGGTGAGAAAGATGTAAGCAAATATCTTAAACACGACGAAATTATGAAAAATATAAACCATTAATTTTTTCAGAATTACGTTTCTAATTTTATTAAAATCGGACAAAAATATCATATAACTGCTTGAAAACATAAAATCCAAAAAAATGGGAATAGTGTTGTTTTAAAAATATTATAGTTTTTGGAATAGTTGCAAGGGTATATAAATGGCCAAAGTTTGCTACCTTTCTTTTTAGTTAAGCTATAAAGTCTTGCCAAACGTAGTTTGTAAAAATAAAATTAGTACTGAAGCGTAGATAAAAGTTTTTAAACCATGGTAATAATATTGGGGTACTTTAACTATATTTCAAACAGAAACTTCTGATATCAAACAAAAACACCTCCTCACGAGGTAATAAATTCGTGACCTTCAACATACAAAATATCTAATATAAAATTTTGTGACGTAAAATGAATAAGCATTCGACTACATAAATACACTTTTTAAATGCTCCCATTCGGCAAATACCTGGATTAAATCAAAATTTCCACTCCACCCTAAAATTAAAAAAAATTAATAGTTTTGAAGTCAAAAACGAAAATTTTACCCAATATTTAAAAAAAAATTATATTTAAATTGCAAAAAAAATCTTAACTTTTTTTAAGAACATAAAACATTTTAAAATTGAAAACTTAACATTTTGGGTGCTAGAAAAGGGTCGAAACATTTTAAAAAGTAAAGCGCTCCATACAAATTTAAGACGCTAATTTTCTCTGTGTACAATTTTGTCACCTTTAGACACTCAATAAATAATAATGACGCATATTCGAAATGTGGTTATCATAAACACATAAATCGAAACTTTCAATTTATTTTATTGAGCGTGAAGCAGACCAATCAAAAGATCAAACAAACTTTAGCATTGACTTGCATTACTTCGAGTGCCTTCCCCTTCCGCTGCTATCGGCGATACTTGAAACTTTTGTCAAGAAGTCGAGCTACAACTTTGCAGTGCTTGTAGGTCCCATGTCGGACAACAGACTGAACAATTATAACCATATGCTCCGGGCTCTTAACTGCAGTCAAAGTAGAGGATAAACTAGAGGAAACTACTGGGAAAACTACTAGTGGGAATTCCATACTGCCCGATGTCGCGTCATGAGTATAATTTTATGAATGGAAAACGCTGCTGCGATTTGATTTGATTTGATAGCATTTGTAATTGCAATTATAGTGTCTTATCGGGAATGGACGAGTTGTTGACAACCTGTGAGCAATGCAGCGATGATATCGCCACGAAGAACCTTATCTGTCGATCTGCCGATCGTCCGATCGGATGGCCAAGTGACGAGTGCGATGCCACAGTCAGTTTTCGATTGCCGATGGGCCCGGATAGACATGAGCGGCGGAGACTACGAGAGCGGTGACTACTTTATGCGCAGTCGGTGGGTCCGGTGCCAATCAAGTGGTGAGCTCACCCGTAACCAGTACTTCTTACTTCCGCCTGCTTCCAGGAAGCTTCGCGACAAGCCGCCGCTGTGGGACTCCTTTCAGGACCCGCCGTCGAAGAAGACCAGCGGCTCCGATGTCGACTGGAAGAAGCTGCAGTTCTTCCTGAAACTCTTCAAGCTATTCGTCTACCTCCTGGTCTTCGCAGTTGTTCTCGCCTCGAGCGTGTTTGCCAAGCTGCTTTATCTCTACATGGCCGGAAATACAGGTGGCAGCGGGCCACGGGTGCAAGTGTGCAGCAAGAACCGTGAGTGAGTGTCATCACCCTGTTGGATTTGCGATTTAAAAGTGGCTCTTCCCCATCTCCATTCCCATCCCAAGTGCTCCGTCACGGCCAGGTGGAGGCGGTGCCCAGTGAGCTAGATCAAATCGCCTGGGTTTGGGCCTTGATCTTCGCCTTCGCCGCCCCGGAGCTGCTCACATTCCTTCGCGCCCTCCGCATTTGCATGTTCAAGCGCGAGCAGCGACCCAGCGGACTGGAAGTGGGCCTGGTGGGTACTATCCTTCGGTAGATAGATAGGGTGGCACGATTTTTGGGTGAGGCGAAAAAAGGGATATTATCTATTGCTAAAGAGATGATTTTGATCATTAATACGTATGACTTTTTTTTTATTTTAATCTATTTATTTAATACAAAATGGTAAAGTAATTTTTTACCAGGAACAGTAAATAAGAGTTTTTTGAGAATTTTGTTTTAAAAAGTCTGCTTTGAATTTTGCTTTTAAACTTTAAAAACAACAGTATATTTTACTCTTGTCCACAAGGTATATAAAACTCAGTGAATTTTGAAAACAAATAAAACTGTATTAGCTCTGGTCTACAAAGTTAAACATTCCGGCAGGCTTTTTAAAATAACTACGTCCCTGCTTTTTAGGTTCATATTAAATGTTTTATACTGAGTAAATTTAAAAAGTTAATCTATATAGTTAAATAGCATTTAGTTTAATATTAACAATAACACTATTTTA